CCCCCCCCCGATACTCAACCGTCTCGCCACTTTGCTTCCACCTCCACTTTCCTCCTGTCCACCTTCTCCAGCCGTGTTCCACATCGGATGAATGTCTGAGTTTTTATTGCATCCATTATGCACACTCAAAGACATGAAGATTAGTGCATTTGGAGAGTGTACGCTTTTGAATTATTCAACATTGAAGGAATAGGAGAATAAAATACGGTTGGATTGGTGGCGTTTGGCTGAAATCGCCTTTTATTCCCTTTTCTTGCCGGGCTGCGCATAACATGATATCTTGTTGTTTTTTTTTTTTTTTGATGATTTATACATCATGAAGACTGTGCTAACAATCTGCAAATGCAAATGCAATCAAAGTGCAACACTTCATTTCAATATATTCATATTAAGAACCCAAATGTTCTTTTCAGCCATTTTCTTTTATGGGACATGTACTTAATACAATTGAAGCATGTCCAGTAGAAGATATTGCGCTTATCTCCTACCTCGCTTTTCTCGGTATGTTTTGATAGGTTGTACCTCAAATCATCCCTCCCCATTGAAATGAATGGAATCATCATGAATCTGTGCCAGCCTTCTACATTAACAAACTTTGTCAATTTCCTTTTGATTGAAATTAGTATATTACTGGTATAGTATATCATGTAATTGTATTATAACATACAGTAAAAAGAAAACAGGATTTGTCTTCTGATTTTTTTTTTTTGCTTCAATTTAGTGGACATGGTGCTGTTCCCTCTCATTTTAGAGGAAACCACCAAACATGCATACTAAGGTGAAATACGGCCCTTGTGATATCATGGGAAAGTACTTAATTGTTCGGCCTGTCACAATAGGTAACTGGCATAGAGAGCTAAACAAACTATTTGTAGTAAATCAATATTTTTGGGGCCAATTAAGTCAAATTGGATAATTACCCCCCTTCACTAATGTGTAGCTGCACACTGGTTGGGAATCAATTTCCTTTCCATAAAATGTAGCCTTTAAACGTCATGTATAGGATAAAGTCGTAAAAACCTACAGGCTTGCCACATAAACACCAGCACGTGCACACATATGATCACACATGCAGACAAAGCTCTGTCATCTTCCCTTCTAAATCCCTTCTTTGGTGCACCCCTCCCACCCCCCCCACACCCATTTCCCTCCCCCTCTCTCTGTGCATCGCTCCCTGCGGTGAAAATGTCTCCAATGTGACGTGCGGCCATGTTTGCGTTTGCTGACACATCAGCACAAACGTGACCAACGTGTAATGCATACGTGACAAATGGAGCCGGTCACGTGACAGCCGAAGGACACGTAAAAACAAATGCACTCGGACGATACTTTTTGATTGTATTACTGGATGCTCAACCACATCTCCTCTGCCCTCGGTTTGCCGGTTACCGAAACTCCGGCCCTTTATCCAGGAAAAGACAATTCAACGTTATCATGTAGAAAATTCAATTAAAAAAAGTGCAGGCAGGTCTGTATTCAGAACATTTGAAAATGTGTCCTGGATTTAAAATGAACCTGGACTTGATCAGATCAACTATACACAATGAACATTTTTACCTATGCAAAGTGCAATGGAAATAGACCAGATTGTAGTAAAACTTCAGAACTACAATATTAGGCATACTGTATCTACTAACCACTCCGTCACTGTGCTGTCCTCAAATGGATATTGTGGTTCTCCCAACCAACTTTCTTTTCCTTTATTATTTAATTTGTTAGATTTTAACACGGTTTAATATTATTGGGTTCCATCAGAGTTAAAAAAAAATTTTTTTTTTTTTGCACTAACACAAAAAAATGACTGACATTCTTGATTGTTCCCCCCAACCCCATCCCGACGTATTGACGGCTATTTTAATTTGCAATTGACACTCGAATGTGAGCTCGAGGACACGATCACCTGTTGCATGCACACACGTGCTCGCTCAGGGGACGCGCTAACCTTTCAAGGCACCTTTCAAGTGTCCATCTTGTATGTGCCGGCCGTAATTGACACCGCAATTTGGTTGTTCACAGCCCGAGGAGGCGTCTTGAGGAAAGCTACAAATACATTAAGTTGTTTAATGGCTCCTCAAATGCTTGCTGCCTCACTAAATAACTTTGTCAAAAGGTCAGATTTCTTCAAAAAGCAAGTATGTGATAAATGCACTTATTTATTTTTATTTTGAAAGGACAGAGCAACGATGCTGATGATTGTCATTGATAATATCCATGGTTGGTTTTGGACACAATTAGGGTATGGCAGACACGCAACATCATGTTTGACCCGAGGGCCTTCTCGGACACAATTGAATTGCGCTCAACAAATAATAGCATTAGTCTGCAACAAAACAGACAAATCGCTAAGGGAGGAGTCTCTTAAAAAGCACAGATAGGGTGCGAGCGCACAAAACGACGCGAGGAATGGTACTCGCAACAAGTTGGAGACGCTGTTGAGCTTCCGTGACCCGCGAGGACATTTTTTTCAACTTTAGAATAAACTTGACAAAAATAAACTCACACGTGTCTTGGCCATGAGGATCCTGAGCAGAGAATTCCGCCTCCAGGACGTCACCGTCATGTACTTGACCGCCCTGGCCGCCCTCATGGTCATCCTGGTGGCCTCCTACCAGGCTCCGTCCCACATTACAGTGGTGGAGCTGGCCCCCCCTGACTCAAAGTCCTCCGATGTTACGCCGCCCGCGCTGCCGCTGCCCTTCCGGGTGCTGCTGGACCCACTCGGGAGGCTACAGCTTGCTTGGAACGTCAGCTACGCCCGCCAGGAGGTCTACATGGAGCTGAAGGTGGCCGAGCTGAAGCACGGCGTGGTGCTGGGTATGTCCGACCGAGGGGAGCTGACCGACGCTGATCTGGTGCTGCTTTGGGACTCTGGAAGCAAAAGTTACTTCGGGGTGAGTCAATGGATAATATAGAAAAAACATTTCATTTAAACATGGAACTGTAAATAATAAAACAGATGAGAAGTGACATTAATGGGGTTACATTCCTTTTCGATTTCAATACATTCATCAATTATGGTTGAATGAGATCCTTTCATCTTTATTAATTGTCTTACCCAGACCACCCATCTGTCCATTTCCTATGACACTTGTCTTGTTGCGTGTCAGCTGGTGTCGATATCAGTTGACTTTGGGCAAAAGGAAAAAGCCCGCGATGTCATTTTATCTGGCCTGTGAAGGCAAAACAAACGTGCCCCCCAAAAAAATTACCAAAATTGCAACTTGTCTTCACAAGCATTTTTTTAAATTTATCACAATAAAAAAAAAAAAAACCTGAAAAATAGTTGATTTTTTTTTTTTTTTTTTTTTTTACTGGCTTCTGATTTCTAAATATGGTCCATCAATGTGGTGTGTGTGTATAGGTCATAATATGAGTCTTACAATTTTTTCACACACGACACGATATCATTTTTGTGGACATAAAATAGAACAGTCGATACACTGTATGAGATGTGAGCAGGTTGTTACGTTTGAGAAGAGTTATGTAAGAGGAGCACAGACCGGTAAAATAAAAGATCTTGGGTGCTATTCTGGACCAAAATGCGAAGACAAACGTGAGAAAGATAACAAGTGGATTGACGCAGCTGCTGCAAAACAAGTCTACGAAATTCATTTGGACTTTATCTGAACAGGCTGCACGTTGACTTAGTGGTTATAGTTTGACTCCATTTTGACTCCATTCCAAATGTTGTCCATTTGTCACGTTTGCCTTCAGGACGCTTGGAGCGACAGCGAAGGCAAAGTGACGCTGGACAGCCAACAGAACTATGAGCTGATTGAAGCCAAATGGAAGTCCGGAGGCTTCTACTTGCTCTTCAAGAGACCCTTTAGCACATGTGACCCCAGAGACTACCTCATTGAGGTAACATTACTCATTTCCGTAAGGTTGACAGTCCTGAAGTTAAATGACACTAAAATAGCATCGCAGCTAATAGATAAGATTCGGGTTTTTTTTTTCTAGTGCTCTGATAAATGCGCTATGCTTAGGAGGGAACAGTGCACATCATTTATGGCCTCTTGGATCAACCGCTTGCTTCACCGGAGCAGCTCAACCTCTCCCGCATCCACACGGGTCTTCAGCGCATCCTGATGCTGCGCCCCGACACGCCGGCCCCCGCGCTACCTCCCGACGTGCAGACGCTGGACGTGGTGGCGCCCCACGTCGTCATCCCCACTCAAGAGACCACCTACTGGTGCTCCATCCACAAGCTGCCCGAAAACATGGCCGAGAATCACATTGTCATGGTAAAAAGGGGGTGTCGAGGGGTGGGGACAGTGCGCAAGCTGCAATTATCGCGGCTTTCTTTTCTTTCTTTTTTTTTTTTTTTTGGAGCATCTGGAGGAAGCAAACAACAGATGGACTGTCATGCTTGGCAGGATGAAGCATACATCAAGGCAAATGCAGAAACTCCCCAAATTGAATTCCTGCGCAATTCTGCGCGCTTTACACACTGTACGCTTTCGCACGCCATTGACACTTTGATGACAGGAAAGTAACTTTGTGTTTTGTTGCAATCAGGCTCACAGATATACTCAACGATACGTGATCAAAAGGAATGGGTTTTATTTCTAAAGTTGTCATGTCAGTAGTTAGCCTATTTTTAAACTTGACATCATAATAAGATGAATAACAATGATCTCCACTTGCGTGGCACTAAATCAACCGTTAGCTAGCTGCAGACTGGATAATTGCGAAACACGTAAAATCGTATTATTTTTGCAGTTGTCAGGGAATCTAATTTAAGCGAGCTGGATACCGGTTAGCTTAACTGCCAACTAGCCTTGTTATTTATCATTACTTATGTTGTAATTTATTAGTACTAGTTTTCTAGCCACCAATTGCCTTGCTGTCACACCGTGGTGACTTTGTCACAAAGTGTTTGTGTGATTTTTAGAGATTAACTGAATTCTACACTAACATGGGACTAAAAGAAACACTAGTTGGCTGGCCAGCTGCTGATATTGTTTGAATGCATTAATGTTGCAGTGTTTATTTTTACACTTATACGCGAGTCATATAACTTGTAAGCTAGCTTGACCCTTGACTCCTGAGCACATGATCATTTGAATGAAATTCTATTGCTTATGTGACGTGACATTTTCTTTCTTTTTTGCATTAGTACGAGTCGGTGATCACACCAGGAAATGAGGCCATCGTGCATCACATCGAGGTGTTTGAATGCTCCCCGGACGACGGTGACGTTCCCCAGTACAGCGGCTCTTGCGACAATAAGATGGTGCCGGCGAATCTCAACTTCTGCCGCCACGTTCTGGCCGCCTGGGCCATGGGTGCAGAGGTATCATGAAATCTGGATGTTTTTCTCATTAGTACAGTAATTTGATGGATTAAAATGTCTAGAACTTCATGGTGGATAGGGATAAACTATTAAAACAGGGCCTTGAGGATTGGTTTCTTCCGACAACAGAAATGCCGTCGTTATACAAGAAGCCTCTAATTCGAGGAGGACTTGGAATTCAGTTCGATTTTTTTTTTCTTGGTGCAATCCTCGACTCTATTCATTGGAGAGCGACTCCTACTCAAATAATGTGAAAGCCTAGAAGTGTCTGCACAAAGTCTATTTAGGGTGTGCAGCCAGTCGCTATGTGGGAAGACAATTCGCATGCAAGCCGGCACACACACACAATGGCTTGCATAGCCTCACACACACAAGGAGAAAAATAAACCGAAACCGATACAGCAGGTACAGTTTTAAAAGAGGACATTTCATTCCCATTCCATTGGACTTAAGGGTCAATAAACCGAAAAATGCACAATAGATTAAAAAAAAAAATGTTTTGGATTTAAATTTATTTTCAAAATCCCAACACGGGCGACTCGGCACATGAGCTCGAAGGCCAAGAAAATAAAACACTGGAGGCAGTACAGCGAGCGAGGTCAATAATCCTGCAGAGAGTAAACAATTTAGCAGTCCTGAAATACCGGGCAAGGCTTTGACTGCGAACAAGGAACAGGTGAGCCTGTTGGAGGGCAACGCCCTTCACTCCAGCGAGAGCTGGAACCAAACAAACACAGCACATGACAGGCTAAGATACTGCGAGACTTGTTTAAGTCACAATATTTGCTGGATTATGGCAAAGGGTGCTGAGATCTCACAAGATGCGTAGCAGCTAAACTTTCGCGAGTTTTACAACAGAACATAGGGAAGACTCGCTTCAGTTTTTCCAAGTTTGATTTGGTCACTCAGGAATGAATAGGCTTTGCAGCGTTTGTCAAGACTTACGGGTCTTGCAAGACTGATTTAGGACTGACAAGCTTTGTTGAAGGCTCGTGAGATTTGCTGAGGTCTTGTGAGGCTTGTTTCAGATTTCTTTTGGAGCCTGGCAAGATTTGCGCAGGCTTTGCAAGATTAACCGAAACAATACGAACGGCTTTCTCGTGGTGTGAGGCATCGAAATACTTGAAAACTGCGGCGGTAGACCAGTTGAAGAAATCAATAGCAGCTAAAGTTGAGCGCAATAAACCGAAGCTACAGAGCAGCCGGCAGAGTGGGCCCAGCAAAGCGGGGGGGGGGGGGGGGGGACATAAAAACAAAGGGCGAGATTAGGTGGGAAATATTCAGGCCTCTTTCATCACCTCGTAATAGCATTGTTCAATTCTCCCCGGCAGCACCATCCAAAGAAATGCGACCTTGCAAAAAAATAAAAATAAACAAACACAAAGTTGCGCGTGGATGCACAGAGGAGACGGCGAGTCCTCAAATGTTTTGGCTTCGCCGAGAAGGAAAATAGCATCACGAAATATATCAAAATAACAACACTCCTCAATTGGATCGGCAGAAGGCATGCGGGGTTGCATCTGGCGCAAGATTAAGTGATGAATTAAGATTGCATCAAGATTTCCTGACGAGAGTGGGACGGATACCCCAAAGGCTTGTTATTTCATTGAACGTCACCGACAACTGGACAGGGTCATCTTGCGCACTGCCAAAATACGGCTCGGTCTTTCATGCTTTTGAAAAATTGCATTTTCTATTCCACTTGCCCCAAACTCAGGAACATTTCCAGTTCCAGGACTCGAGTAGAAAATAGCTAACATTGTGTTGAATGGGAATTTTTAAAATCATGTTTTTGGGCAATATTTGACACAAATAAAGACAGCCAAATATGGGAAATGTTATGATCAATAAATAAGCACAGTGTCCTGGAAAATCAGGTTTTTGCTACTGAGCAAGACATGTAATACAAGTAATCATGTGACGACAGACCCCTAGTTTCATTTTTGCAATATTCTTGGGCTGTCGACACATTTTACTCAGCTTTAAGCAAAGATAATACCTTTTTTTTTCAAACAAGGAGTCCTGTGTGTGTTTCCAGGCGTTTTACTACCCTCCTGATGCAGGCCTCCCTATTGGTGGGCCAGGTTCCTCAAGGTTCCTTCGCCTGGAAGTCCATTACCACAACCCTCTCCTTATATCTGGTACACACACACACACACACACACACACACACACACACACACACACACACACCGGGAAAGTGTTCCTGAGAAGCTGCGGGCTAATTTCCAACCGAGCAATTCGTTTCAAATTTTCCAGATGACGCTTTTCATCTTGGCCACCGCTCGTCGTGACAGACTTTACAGTGTGTTCTCCTCATGTGACCTTCAGTGCCATGTTCGCATATTCTATCGTTTTTTTTTTTCAGAATTTAGGAGTACTCGTCCTGTTAGCATAATCTACAACCTTTACGTTGTCATGTTAGCATGGCGTTTGAATGCTGTCGACAGACAGACAAGCAAACACATACACATCAATCAAAATTTGGGGTAGGTGGGTATTGAAATCAATCCAAGGGCCACTCAGAATGTGGCCAGCGAGTTGCCCATCCCTGGCCTGGATGGTGTTTCACTCGAAAGACGTGCAACAGCGAACTTAGTAATGACATTGCGCTTTGTGCCCGCGAGTCAATGACATCTCGATTCCTGCCCGAGTGTCCTCTCACAAACCTCCGAGAGATAAACAACGTCCGCCTTAAATTCACTCATGAATGCTTATGAATATCCTGTTGAAATTATTCTGCCCTGCGAGCATGTGAATATGTTACAGGCGGTTAAATGGACCGCACGTAAAGCGCATTAACGATCTGCCACGTCGCTGCGTGCAGGCAGACGTGACTCATCGGGGATACGGTTGCATTACACGCCCAGTCTGAGGCGCTACGACGCCGGGATCATGGAGCTGGGCCTGGTCTACACGCCCATCATGGCCGTCCCGCCTAAGCAACACAGCTTCTACCTCACCGGCTACTGCACCTCCAGGTGTACACGCACTGTAAGAAGGCGTGACGCGTGCTGTGGTAAAGAGATTTGCAAAGTGTGGTTCGAGTGCCACGGGTGGTATTTGTTACTAAATTAGGTGTTCAAACTGTGCATGGTAAAAAAGTGGCGTGAACTTGTTTTTATTCTAAATTTAAATTGATGCATATTTCATTTCAATCAAATTATTTAGTTCTTTTATGTTTTTTTTTTAATTGTCCTTGCCATTCTCGGCGAGCAGAGAGGGGAGGGATGGGTAGTTACGCACTGAGGAGCAGGAACAGGGAGGGAGCAAGACGAATGAGCCACTGCAAACATGGATGCCTTTTTGCTCGGTTGATTAATGTGCAAAGCCTTAAAAAAAAAAAAAAAAAATGGTACCAGCGGGTGCTAGTTAGCCCGAAGGGCAGCATAAATAGCCCATTGGTCTGTTCTAAAAATAGCGCACCAGTGATTGGACAATGTATCTTATAAAGAAGAATTGAAACAGAAGAGGAACGTTAACATTTACGTCTTCATTGAAACTAAACCCGGTATATGTTCTGTCCCAGATTTTGTTTCGAATAGATCTGAAAGGTGTTGCTATCTAAAAACAGTTTTTGAACCATTGGTCTAGCAGAATCCATTCCCATATCAGTGATCATCTCGTCTGCTTCAATAAATAGGCTTTGCCTCGGGGCGGCATCTTCATCTTCGCGTCCCAGCTGCACACGCACTTGGCGGGCCGCGGGGTGCGCACTGTCTTGGTGAGGGGGGGCCAAGAGGTGGAGGTGGTGCAGGAGGACCAACACTTCAGCACACACTACCAGGTGAGCAGCGACCAGGACCCTTTTTGCGTGAAAGGGGAGATCAATTTCTATTGTATTAAATGATATCATCCAATATCAACTTATGTCATGTCTGTCACGGCAAGACATGGTTCATATTATGAAAAGGAATGTGCGATGTTGCTTATGACGGCTGTGAGGGTGAAGACCTCCCGTTGGGTTGCCTCAGCTCAAGCTGTCAACGACCACCAAGTGTCGTTTGAGGGCGACAAACAAACAAGGGGAGATAATGAATGTGTTCCGCCTCTCTCACGGAGGAGGACGTCAATCAGAAGGTGTGCGTGCGTACGGTACTCCTCAAAAAACACGTGGCCGTGCCAATCTTCCAATATTTCTTGACTTTGAAAACACAATCCAAAGGTTCATTTTTTTTTTCATTGTATTCATAAAGTTGATTTTCGGTACTGTGTGGAGTGGTGAGGTCAACTTTCATGCAGGGATGTTTTTGAATATTTCCGCTTTTGCTCTCACCACCAACCATCAAGCGCTGCACATCTGTTCTTTGTCTTGCGATTCCAATAAATTAAACGTACGAGCGCGATGCCGAGGAACACCTGCCTTCCGCCTCGCACGTTTCCCATCACTGTTGAGCGTCAGCCCACCTGAGTGATGCTCGCCGTCTAAGCACTCGGCCTCATTAGGAAATATTAAGGCTGCTTCCGCACGCAGGCGGTGGGCGGGAAGGCTGCGTGCCACGAAAGCTTCTTCGAGCGGCGGGCGGCGAAGCCTTGAACAAATGCTCGCAGGGAAATATTGAAATGGGGGGGGGAAAAAAAAATAAAAATCCTCATTCATTTTTAAGTACTCTCTCATTCCACTTGGAAGGGATGAACACCATTAGGTGCGCAAATGAATTATTCAGCCAATTAATGCGTAAAACGTACAGTAAGAAAAGGTCAAAAGGTTCCAGCCTTTTCAGCACCCGCATTTCAATACACGCCTATTCCAAATTTTAATATTGCAATAAATTCTGATTTCTTTCCCTCCATTTCAATTTGTTTCTCTGATTTCGAAAAGATATTCCAGCGCAATGTTTTTTGTCATATTCAATTAATTTTTTTTCTTTACTGATTCGCTTGTGCGGCATCCATTTTGACTCTAGTTTAAGTCGCCCAATATGGTTCCTTGTCTTTATTTTGTTTTTGTTTTTTTTCTTATAGACAATCCGAGTTCTGAGGAAGATGACCAACGTTTTGCCGGTGAGTAGGAAGGTGCCCGAGAATTGATCCTGTAGAATGAAATAGAGTCAACCTTGGAAACTGGATTATATTTTTAGTGGCATGAAGGGAAACAGTACCTTAACAAAGCATTTTTTATTTTTCAGTTGGTCTTTTTTGGTGCATTTAACTCTTTTTTTTCTGACAGGGAGATGTCCTTATCACAAAGTGTACTTATAACACAGAAGATAGGGACAAGCCCACCGTGGTGAGTCGCCATTTACAACACAAATACAATCTGGGAAAAAAAAAAAAGTACCTTCATAAATTTCATGTCCTTCTTGACGGTGGTTCCTCAGGGTGGTTTCGGCATCATGGAGGAAATGTGCGTCAACTACGTCCACTACTACCCTCGCACTCAGCTGGAGCTGTGCAAGAGCCACGTGGACCTGGATCACCTGCAAAAATATTTCAGCTTCATTAACAGGTAGCGTGCAAACATCAGCAGGGTCTTGTACTTCCCTCACGGTCCCGTGACATCAAAGTGTGCCGTTGTCGTTAGATTCCAGGGAAAGGAGCAGTGTGTTTGTGGCGACGAGGGTGTGACAGAGCAGTACTCCAGACTCCAGTGGGACGGCTTCGCCACGCAAGTCCTGGACTCTCTTTACAACACGGCGCCCATCTCCATGCACTGCAACCAATCCACTGCACGCCTCTTTCCTGTGAGTCTCAAAGACGTGTGTCAAAGTCCTCCCCGTGCTTATGTGGGCTCTCTTGGGTACTCTGGATTCAACCAACTTCCCAGAAAAAAAGGCAGATTAGGTTTATTGAAGGCTCTAAATCAGCCTCATATTATCACATATGCACAACAAATTGACGGATGATTCGTTTTGAAATCAAAATGCAGTTAAAAAAAAACAAAACAATTATTTTTCAGTTATTTCATACGGAAGGGTATTGCTGCCACACCAGAAAAAAAGTATCACATTTTTTCATGTTTTTTTTTTACCTGGTGTGACAGCTATACGCTTTCTTAATTTCAAAAACACGATTAGTAACAAAAAACGCTTGCAACATTTCAACGGCAAATTGTCATTTTATGTGCCTTAATGGGCCACATAAAATGAAGCAGCGGGCCAAAAAGGGCTGTTGGGCTTGGAGTGCAGTATCTCCATATCTAGTGTTTTACAATAATACTAAACTATATTTATTTACAATCCAATTGATTTCTGTGGCTAAAAAAAAATCAAAGCGTGGAGAGTCTTCGTCATCAAAATGCCAGCAGATCCTGAAAGTGCGGTCAATGAATGGGCGATCACTGCCAAGAGCTTCTCGAATATCCACTCTTTATTTCATTTCAGGCCAATCCACTTCCTCCTTGTCAATCACAAGTTTTGGGAATCTTGAAAAACGAACACAGTAATTAAAACATTAAGGGGTCACTATTTTTCCAATGGGTGAGTTGGTTTATTTGCGTGAGGGTTATTCATCTGGTGTGTGGAGGTGAATCGCCGGTAAGAGGTGGGCCTAATGAGGATCGATATGGGGGCCTTATTTTTGGATGACAATTCCTACAATATTCACATCCTATGCTTCTTTCTCCAGGGAGAGTGGGAGAAACAGACTCTACCCATGGTAACCTCACCACTCAAAAAGCCCCCTTACCCTTGTGAGGTCAGAGTGCGTCCCACCAGTCGCCCGGATGGAACTCCAGTCTGAGCCAAACCAAGAAGGGGGCTTGACGACACGTTCAGCCTAAGGAGGAGGGCCCCAGAAAGTGACATTGTCTGGGTTCCGCAGGTTCATCGTCAACTTCTTATTTTAATTGTACGCTTAGAATTAAAGACATACTTTTGTGGATCAGAGTGTTGTTTTGATGCCGGGGGGAGGGGTGGGGGAGTACTGCTCAAATAAAAATCATGAATATTTTGTTTTTTTAATAGAAATATTTACTGCAGTCACGTGTCTTGCTCCATTTCCCCCTTACCCTTGTGAGGTCAGAGTGCGTCCCACCAGTCGCCCGGATGGAACTCCAGTCTGAGCCAAACCAAGAAGGGGGCTTGACGACACGTTCAGCCTAAGGAGGAGGGCCCCAGAAAGTGACATTGTCTGGGTTCCGCAGGTTCATCGTCAACTTCTTATTTTAATTGTACGCTTAGAATTAAAGACATACTTTTGTGGATCAGAGTGTTGTTTTGATGCCGGGGGGGAGGGGTGGGGGAGTACTGCTCAAATAAAAATCATGAATATTTTGTTTTTTTAATAGAAATATTTACTGCAGTCACGTGTCTTGCTCCATTTTTTTTCCCTTTTATATGAAGACAAATAATTGTGTTTTACATAGCATGTGAAAAGCATGGATATATTTCATGTCATAAAGCATTTGAGAGTAACCTTCCCAGTGTCTTGTTGTTTGTCTTGTTGTTGTCTTCACATTTAGCATTCGCAGGATGAAGTCATGACGAGAAAATTAATACAGCGGACATTTGAAAACAGAATACCTTGGAGGCTATGTGATTTGTAATTTGACCAAAATGTTCTGCAAGAAGACACCATTGAAGTTGGAGAAAAAAAGCAATGTAAATACAGTACTACCCCTCTCCCCCGATCCCCCCACACACACATGCAGCCACACAAAGCATCTAAATCTAAAGCGGCGATTTTAAAATGTAGTGCGAAAGAATCACTGAATTAAAGTGTGCATAGTGTTACAGTGGTTTAGATTTACTCCAGTTCAGTTGTATTTAACTTTTAATTACATGAACATTGAACCTTTTCGAGATGTCGATTTTAAAACATTCATTCGAGAATCATTTCATTGAACTTTTCCTGCTTTGCAGCTTTTAACTAACACTCGGTACAGTACGTCTCCCTTTGCACATTTTTTATGTTTTACGAAATAGCTTTTGACTTCTTTTCACCGTAAGCAGACGCTAAGAAAGTTAAAATGTTATTGAAAACATCGGCTACACAGTCACGGAAGCAGCTTGGCCCTCGAGCAAATGATCCCAACGCGCCACAATTTCATTTGTGTTTCTCAACCAACAATTTGGACACGTAATGAGACAAAGAGGTGCTTCGGCGAACAGAAAGGTGGCTCTGACTAATTTCTGAACGGTAAACATCAAGTAATGATGACTGCACCAAAAGGCGCTGTCTCAAGGTGGGGACATTTATTTTTTTTCAGATTTTGTCTTTGAGCTCAATGTCATTGAAGTCATCCTGCACAAGGATTTTTTTTTTTCTTCTTCATAGGTCATGATTCTTATAATAGACATCAGTCATCTGTAATGTGACTTAAAGTGCCTTCGGGGATGGTGGTGTCTAACTGGAGAATCTAATACCGTAAGACCGCATAGAATGAGCTGAGAAACAAGGTTAGCAATGTTCTACTGTATGTACTTTTGGAGGATCCTGCCACGCGGAACCTAAAATTGCCCACTTGACTGAGAACAGATATCATTCGTGACCTCCAAATTGAGAATGCGAGGCAACAAGCTGTCATACGTTTAGCTTCAAAGCCATTTTGATTTCATTTGGCCTTTGTTAGAAGGAGAAGGGTACATCTTGTCGTAGATTATATGATCAATTGTTATCGTTGCGGACGCCGCTGTGTTTGCCCCCCCCCCCCAAATAAAATAAAAACACTATTTTTGTCACATTTTAAGGCTATTACAGTTTAGCGTGTGCACTCAGTGTCTTAGTAAATCACAGAATAATAATAATAATATTTCCCACAGTGCATAAAAGGCAAGATAAATTTACAAATGCCCTGAGTCAAAACAATTACCGGTTTAAAAAAAAAATCTATGTATATATTGGCATTTTTATGAAGGTAAATGTAAAAAAACATTTCTGCTAAAAGCTATGAACCGAACTGCTTCCGATGCAAATGAATCAACAAATGATTGATGCCAGTGTCTAATTGAGGCGCTGCCATAGCGGCTTAGCGGGGCTAAGTCTTGCGGTAGCTAGCGAGGGGGAAACACTAAACGTCTCAAATTCCGTGCGGTCAATTTCATCCTTCCAGATCAATTCTCTAGCCCGATTGATTTAGAAACAATTACTGAAGATAATTGAACGAGTCAACTCACTATTCACCGCGAGCAGCGACACATACAGCCGAGGGCGGAAAGGACCTTTGGCCACACCTCACTCAAACGAGATTCGTTTTCGTATCAGAACCTCCCCGTATACGTGAATAATCAAGCCCACACCAAATCCCCATCCGGTCACAGCATGAATAAATGTTCCGTATTTGCCTGAGACGATTGAAATCTTGCGCCAGCGTGCCAAACAACCGGAGCTCATCTCAGCACCGAGCGGGGGAGGTTTTCACTCCGGGTGAAGGTCCGCGTCAATCGTAGATGCCCTTCACGCGCTTGTTCTCGGGGTCGAACGGAGATCTGAGGTGGGCCTTGGCCTTGTACGTCACTCCCATCCTCTCCAAGGTGAACTCGCCACTCTTGACGAAATCGGTGCTCACCTGAAGAAGGGGACAATTTAGAACGAGGTGAAATTGAAGCAACCGGGGTCGTAAAGGGAAGCACTGAAAAACTGAAAGCTATGTTGTTTTTCTACCGAATGCGCCTGTCGTAAAGGAACATAATTACCACTCCTCCGTCTGGATTACGGATGTATCCGTAACCGATTGTCTTGTCGATGTAGAATCCATAGTCAGCACGCCGCAAGTGGCCAACGGGGACGCCGTTACGGAAGATTGCCTCCAGGCCGAACATTGGTACTTTCCTGTATTTAAAAAAAAAAAAAAAATCAAACAAACAAACAAAAAAAAAAAAAAAAACGAAACAAGAATCAACATTTCGATTTTCACAGCATGCGTTCGGGGTGCACATAAACGGTCGAAGTCAAAACCATCCCGGTGGATTTCGTTCATTTTCTGTCAGTGTCGACGCGAGCTAGACTGACTCGTCAATGGTGAAGGAGACGATGCGTCTCCTCAGGCCTTCCTCCTTCTGCTTCTCCAGCCGATGCCGACCCTGGAAAGGGATGGAGCCTTTCAACTTGCAGGTGAAGGCTAGCCCCGCCTCCAGGGGCGTATCATCCGGGCGAAGGTCGGCGTGCCAGTGGCGGTAACCTGACAAAGGTGGAGGGTGCTCGTTACATCCAATTGTGTTTAAAAAAAAAAAAAAAGCCTTTTTCACAAATAAAAATTTCTATCCCGGTCGGAAAGAATTTGAAACAATTTCTGTCTCAATAATAAGGCGAAATGTGTTGATGGCTCCCAGCAGACTTCGGATTCCGAGTTACCTTTCTCGATACTGAGCGAGTCGATGGCCCTGTAGCCTGAATTGATGATGCCGTGCTTGGCGCCGGCGGCCATGACGGCGTGGTAGACGGAAAGGCAGGAGCCTTTGGGAACATGGAGCTCCCAGCCCATCTCCCCGACAAAGGACAGACGCATCGCACGCACCTGGAGGACGAGAGGAGAGGAGGCTTTAAAAAAAGGATGCACGCACGCATCCCTCACCCATGCACGCAGTTAATCTTCAGGCCTCACACTGACTCGGATCTGAATAGTGACTCTACAAGAAGAACCAGGAAGAGGCAAAGCAAAATGAATAGATATGACACAACACAGAGCACACCAGTGGAAAAGATGCAAATCTGATCTTTGTTTGAGAAATGGTGTCTCCAAAAAGCCGGTAAAGCTATACGGTTTATCAACATCGGCTAACATCTTTTTTTTAAGACTAATAATCAATCACATTGTTTCATTCCACTGTGCACGTGACCAAAAACAAACAAAAAAAAAACTTTGACGTTGGAGCCGACTCATTCACTTTCCATTCCGCCTTATGGGAAATTAAATATGAACCAATCCGCCACCCCAAAAATAGATTGTGTTAATCCTTCGAGGTCCCACTGTATTTGAATAATGCTTTGACAAGGAAGCAACGCGAAAGCTCCGAAGACGGCTGGAGAGTGAAAGTCAGCTCGTGAAGCAAATGAGGGGGGGGGGAGGGAGTGTGAAGTGACGAGAGAGAAATGTCTCCAACAGTTTGCCCCAGTGGGCGCAGTGACGGTCGGGCCATCTGGCCGGCCGAGGTTCACCCTGGGCCCCATATGTACATGCCGCCGCGCACGTTTGAAGAAAAAAAAACAAAAAAACTGCAGACTCACAAAGCCGCAGAGATGAAATGCATACGCTCGTCGCATCAAACGTGGACTCACGCTGCACATGAGCGAACACAAACATAGATTTTGATTAATTGAAATGACCCACGTACAAACCAGTCCTCTGGTGAGTTTGGGTGGGGGGGGGGGGCAGAGGGGCACCGCGGGAAAAGAGCCAAGGGCACAGAGTGTGCTGTGTTCTCGCAGCATTGCAACCATTAAAATATCGCCCGGGCAAAGACCAGTAAGCAGCACCCAACGCTGCGCAAGCGACACACTTGTGTATGCGCGCAAACACTCCCAGAGAGCGATGCCGTCTGCAGTCACTTGTGCCCTGAATAATTCACGCTAGAGCAACTAAGACAGCGAGCTCGGGCATGTGTTCGTCGCAGCGTGATCCGGAACAACACGCTTGCTTTGGTCGCAGGTCACTGACTGTGCTGGTCAGTCTCACAAGACCAAAAGTTGCAATAATTCACAAACACACACACGCACACACACATTCGGACACTCATTTCAAAGAGCTAGTTAAAGTGAAGCCATTAAACGCATCACTTCCAAATAAAAGTCACCGAGTGTGTATTTGTGTGCTCCACGCGAGCACGTGTGTGTGTGTGTGTGTGTTCTCACCTGATGGCCGGCGGCGGTGACAACTTTGTGGGTGGAAAAAGGGAAGGCGTCGTTGCTGAGGTCTGCGTCCAACACCTCTTGTAGCACCTCCCGACTGGACAAGGCCATCAAGAAGACAAAATTCAATCATTCAAAATCTCATTTAAAAACAGATATGAATCTATATTGTCTTATTTAAAACAAATTCATCATTTATTTCATAAAAGAACAAAAAACATGCGAAATAAAAAAAGCTCATCGCTCACCAAAAGCGCTCTTCTGATAACCTCACCCACAAGCACACAAAATCGATATTACATAAAAAATAAATAAATAAATAAATAAAAATGAGTCAGCGGCAAAAAAAAAAGGGACTAAGTTTAGCTTACTTTGCTTCTTGTACGCATACGAGGGTAGCGGTGATAGAACGCAACGCCGCCTCTGAAGGCTATTCTTTGCAGGAGTAAAAACAAACGTCAAGAAGCCGCGAGTGAAGTTGGGGCGGCGTGTTTTCTATTTTCCCCAAAAGAAATCAATGTTGCTGTAAGTTGATAGAAGAGCCGCAACCGTGCGCTTGCTTGCAAGAGGCGCAGCGGCGCATGCGGCACTCTCGTCGAATTTTGCGTCCTCCCCGAAGCGACGCTTTGTTCATTGAACTTGCGAGCACACAAGGCGGAACAATTAGCTCGAAATAATCTGTTGAAAAGGTTGCGTGTGCTCGTTCGTGAGGTTTCGCAACCGCTAATCTCATTCTTGGACATGCCACTTATCGGTAGCTTTTTTTTTTTTTTTTTGCCCAGTTGAGGCCTGGAGGACTTGCGCACGTGTGGTTCAACCTATAATAGAAAGTCACGAGGGCAAATGCTGAAATGTGGAGCTCATTTAAAAGAATAGATGGATGATCTATTTTCTGAAGTTTATCGGCGTCACTCACATCTCATAACTAGGCAACATCAATGTCAACAAGCGACAATTTATTTCTAGAAATCTCTGCCAGTGTTTCCATTTTCAAATTCTTACTTTGACAAACACGACTAGAAAATCACAATGTCCCACCCCTGGGGAGCTATTTTTGGAGCACGGCCCCTCAAAACGCCAACGAAATACACGCATGTTTATGACCATAAATACAATTTCGCTCTCGGTGCCTAAAATCGGCCTTCATTAGTTCGTATGGTGACACGCGTCAAGAGCCACTCAATCATCCCCCAGAGTCGACGTTCAGTCTGTTGAAGGAATCTATCGTGAAACTACGGTACACACGCTGAGCGCGACGGGCTCCTGGGGCCAGTGACACACTCGATATGGCTTTGACGCAAGCGTTCGCAGCAAGAGGGAAAGGAGAAGGGGGCGAGGGGTGGGAGAAGAACGTAATCGCTGGTGGAGGATAAAAAGAACGTTGTGGATGTACGGGGGAAGAATGCGATGGATACCAAGATCAAGAGAAGAGGAAAGGAAAATACTCCTCAAGGGGAGGACGTCAACACGACGCACGTGTCGAGCAGAATGTGACTGAAATGTGAATCCCAAGGCATGACGGAGGGGTCTTGTGAAGGGTAAGAACCACATGAAGTGAAAAGTATTTTGGAGAGAGCTCTTCTCAACATACTGCTTCAATCATGAATCATCACAGTACCGTATTTTCCGCTTGATAAGGCACTTCGTTGTATAAGGCGCACCTTCGATGAATGGCCTATTTTAGAACTGTTTTTGTACGTAGGGCGCACCGCATTATAAGGCGCATAGAAGAGAAGCTGCAATCGTGGCTGCGGTTGCGTTATGAATCCACTAGATGGAGCTTCGCTAAAGGGAATACAATACAATACGATACAGTTTTGTTGATACAGAGTTTTTACAACCACTGCTGCTGGAACAAAGCGCTTTACGGAACATTTAAAATACTACGGCCAAGAAATTGGAATATTGATCCATATAGAAGGCGCATCGGATTATAAGGAGCACCGTCGGCTTTTGAGAAAATGGAATGCTTAAGGGTGTGCCTCATAGTGCGGAAAATACGCTCATTTTGACCGACTGACATCTGAAGAATTTTGGCCCGTTTTCTTTTTTCCCCCAACAAACCAACATTTTTTTTTTTTTTTCTGCAACACATTTTCAGATTTGGGGGACATCTGAACTCATCAGGTGAGAAAATGTCTTAGTTGATCCTTTTTCTGCCGACTTTACCTCTTTGGTCCCTGGATGCTGATCATGCCCATGTCCTCCGAGTGGTCCGTCAGCTGGCAGCGGAAGCCCTGGTCCTGGATCACCGTTCGAATGTGGTTCCAGTTGTGCTCGGCAACACCGCCTCCGATGGCCAGGTAGTACGCATCACCTCGAGGGAAATGGAGAGAAATTCAATTCGGAAATGACATTCCATTTTTTTTGGTTGCCATTTTCTGCCGAGCATGAACCAGAGGCAGGTGCAACAACACGAAAGCTGCAATTTAACTGTCACAAAGTCCTGACGCCGAGTTTCCAAAAAAAAAAACGTGGGCGGCGATTTGCCCCGACAAGTGTTTTAAGACATAATGACAACTGATGACGGAAAGAAAACTTTCTAGGAATGACGGGTCGGAAACAAATGTGCAGAAGGTGCGAGACAACGTAAGCAGCGGTTTGTCCACAAAAACCGAGTGGAAAGATTCGAGCGTATGTTTTGGAAATCATGGCGATCGGGGCGGATGTGATGCCAAGAGCAGAACACGTTGGCACGCTTACTCACCATCGGACTCGGGTGCCAGCGGGAGGTTGGCAGCTCCGGACTCCAGTCTGCTCACTGTCAGGTCAGCTTCCGTCCCTCCTCTTGAATTCAGCATGCACGTGTACACGGTGGAACCTGGAACGCGTACACGCACACGTTTATTTTATTGTCACAATTAGCATGTCTGTGCATTTGTGAAAAGCTTTCGCTCAGAATATCAAGCCCCGAACACCTTTCAGACCATCTTTGTATTTTCCCATCAACATGTCGACCAACGGTAATTTCTTCAAAGCCCAAATCTCCGAGGAGAACACACCAGATCTCCCTCATTTGTTTCTTTGTGGTTTGACACACTTTTGAAGCCCGCGTGCGATGCCACTGTCAGAAGATGTACCGAATAAAAAGGTAAAGCCTTTCTTTTTTTTTTTTTCTTTTTCCCCAGAAGCTGCCGCGGCGGGGACGGGAACCCCCCCCATTAAAGCGGAAATGTCAACCCAGCGCATCACTGGCAGGAACAGTCACCGCAGGACCGCCGGCGACATTGTGTCGAATGACATCTGTGTATAATTTCAGGAGACGCAAAACGATAACGCGTCCGTCACCCGGCTGGCTGGAGGACATGCAAAAACCGTGGCTGTCCTTCAGCCATCACGCACTGCAAGAGATGATTGACAGGGTAGGATCAACATGAAAGCATCCTCGTGCGTCTGTGTGTGATAACAAAAGGCCACTTGGAATGACGGGCATCGACATTTCTTCGCATTTGATGATTTCAAACCGAAAGAGTGGGAATAAGGGAGTCGTGGAAGGGCCCCGTTCTATCTCGCCGTCACCACAGAGGAAATTGATCCTGCCCAGCCGAGCGATGGAGTGAGGAAGCTTCATTTCACAACCGTACGGTCTCCGAACGCATCATCGGAGGCGACGGAGGAAACGCACCGCTCGTGTGTTTGACGTCTCATTTCCTCCGGTTCGCCTTGAACAAAACCGTCAATCCTCTGGACCGTCTGCCACTACTTCCACACGCGCGCGTGGCTTTTGGCTTTCGGCGGCAGTCCCACTGACCTGGCTTCTTGTTGACATCGGCGGTGAACAGCCAATCGGCTGCTTTCTTGGCATCGGGACCGGTGAGATAGAACTTTCCGAAGTAGGACATGTCAAACACGGCCACGCCGTGCCTGCATGACAGGCACTCGCTCTTTATCTGCATTAAAAAAAAAAAATACATCGACATTAAATCCAATCCACCGTGAGCACTCGATAGCCAAAACGCTCGTGTCATGTCATGGCGGCGAAGCTCAACTCTTACCACGTCATGATGCGGGGGGAAGTCAAAGGTGTACTCTTTGCCCAGCAGCTCGTTGTATTTGTACTGCTGATTCCTCTTGATGTCGTAGGCGCCGTAGTAATCGTAGTCTTTAACCTTTCCAACAACAAAGGTCGACGCAAAGGAGGTCATAAAAAAAAAAAAAATCAATAAATAAATAAAAAGCTGTGGTGTGTCGACACAACTACATCCAGCGTTGGGGGCTTAGTTTGGATATTGACGTTCTAAATGCGGATGCGTGCGTTTCTCACAGGAGCTTGTCCGTCCTTGGTGAACCAGCCAGGTCTCTCCCAGCCATGTCTCTCCTGGAATACGCAGCCCTGCTCTGTCAGCACCTACAAAATCAAAGAAAGGCGACCAACAGTCAACGGGGAAGAAAAGCGTGCGGGTCTCAGAATGTGATCGTTCAAATGTTGACTTTGGATACTTTCGGTTGGACGCAATCACAAACGGAGAGGCTGTTTTTATAACCTTTGAAGCGTATAAAGGTCCATGATGATCAATAAAGATTTTTTTGTAACGAGTTGTAATATTCCTGTAATCCAATCAAAGCCAAATGATCCAAATTTAATTGAGCAGAAACAGTTGCCACCCATACATACTTTCTTCTTTTGTCTGAATTTAGTCAATAAGGTTTTTGCATTCATGGTAAAATTCAAAAAAAAAAAAAAAAAACCTCATTATATTGTCCCCATATCTGCATGTAATATTTTTCACTCCTTGCTAATAATGGGCTGTCACTTATAATCGTATATGTTGCTAATAATATTATTACAATCCAACAAAAATCAATGAGCACACAAATGACATCCAAAATGTCTCTGAATTCTTCACGGGATGGAACACATCAGAAGAAGATGCTTCACCTCTCACCATCCTCCTCTTCCTCCTCCTCCTCCTCGTTCGAACTGACAGTCGCCCACAGTTGCTACCGTAGGTATATGTTGTGCTAGCCGTCTCCTGCCAAACCTTCCCACACCGTGCTATATTTACCATCTGCGCTACCCGGCAAAACGTGTGAGCGGCCGCGTCAAGAGTGACCGCACTTGGTGTCGGAAAAAGGAAGCCTCCGAAAATGACTCCATCTAATTAGCTTCAAAGGGACAAGCGAACACAAAGTACCTCTCGGTCCTGGCGAGACCTGTATCGTGCGTACAAATCATTTCGAGAATAACAGACTTTTATTTTCCCGGCGTTGCCACTAAAAATGCGTCGACGCTGCTCTGCAAGCCGAAGGAAGGCCGGTTGCTAGGTGATCGGCCCTTCAGCAAGTGATTAGCGCGGATCTTAAAAGGTTTGGAGATGAGGGTCGCAACAGCCCCGGTCTCAGCGGAAAGTTCCTCTCGGAGCTGCGAAAACATGCCTATTAGGAGACCGGTGCCGTCATTGCGATGCCACATAATCGCTCCGGCTGGGGGAAAAAAAAAATATACTAATAATAAGTACAGGTCTACGCCATCGCATCGAACTTGTACGAGGCAGCAAGGTGCCACGGGGGCATCAAGACTGACGGCAATCTAAACTGTTCACGCAATCTGTTGTGCGGAAAAGCGCCGAGCGGCACCTTCAAGGACGGACCCCGCCAGACACCGCGGCAGTTAAATGAAGTCAGCAACAGGAAAGGAAGACTAAGTGGGGCCATTAATGTTTAAATACAGTGGGCAAGGGGTCCATTAGGAATTTGTGTCGAGCGTAAGGAGAAGTTGAAAGACATGCGAGCCCGGGCGACCGGAGATTAAGTGTATCATTTATAGTCACGGACGGCATTCATAAATGGAGCCGGCGGAGAAGAGTGACGCAGCTAAACTGCCGTCTGCCTCGGCCTTAATCGTTTTTTTGACCGCATGAAAACGGCAGCGGTGGGGGGAGCGAGTCATCACAATGACAAATGAATTCAAGAGGCCAACGTTTGTGAGTGTTTGCGAAGGTGGCGAATGGGTGAGATTCGGTCTTTCAGTCAGTTGCCATTAAAAAAAAAAAAAAAAAAAAATACGAAGAGGCAAACGTATTAACCTTATAAAGGTCCAATCGGGATTGTTTGAGCTTTTACCGAAGCACCTGTGAGGCGCAGATCAAAGCCCGCCGTTTACCTGGTGGAACGGATCCTTCCTCATGTTTCTGCTGGCCAGCGGCTCATCAAACGGGAACACCACCGAGTAATTCTTGGCGTAAGACTCGTGACTGCGCTCTCGGATCCAGCGTTGGTTGTCCGTCAGCGAGCTATGGAAGCGCCTGAGAAGGGAAAAGGATGAGCCATTCAAACAATTAAAAAGTCGCAATCAGGCAGATCGGAAAACTTGCCTACAAAAATTTTACAGGGAAACATTTCACTGCACCAATGGGAGTTTTTTTTTTAATTTTTAATGACCACATTTTTTTGTATATTCGTTTTAATGCTAGTCAAAGAACATCCCAATAATTCATGTTGCAAAAAAAAAAAAAAAAAATCAGGCACCACCGTCCCATTTTTACAACATGAATATTTTCTCTGAGACATTTAATAAGAACTGTCGTGAGCACGTTCTCCCGAAATAGCGGACCCGCGTTTACCTCTCCTGCTTTGCGTCTTTACAAGTAACGTAAATGTAGCGGCTCATCAACTATGATACGTATTAAACTTTATAAGGCTTCTCTATTGCCGGGGATTGATAGGATAGTTGAAGCTCATTTTGATTTAGCGCAACTATAAAGGGGCTGCAGTTGCTCAAACGAGCCAAACAGGACAGGTCATTTGAGAGACAAATATGCCGTAACGATGACAAATCTAATGCCGGTCGAACTAAATTTGCAATCAGTGTGCGATGTTGTACATGTTTTTCTTTTTTATTTTTTTTGTATGTACCTGATGTCGTATCCATACATGTCCTTCTCAGGGCGGCCGTGGATAATCCAATGCGCGAGCTCGCGACCGCAGCCACCTCCCAGCATCATACCTGGAAGACATTACGCATGTAACACCACATAAATATATCGCTTGAAGAATTCGACTTATAGCGGAACCTCAAAAATTGGAACTGTGTGCTTTGAATCCGTTCCGCATTCTGTCGACAAACCGCATGCGATCTCCCACCCAGGAAGGTTTGATGACAGAATCGGACACTGCGCTTTAGAACTTGAAAGCGGAAGTGCGAACCATGACACCAGCGTGTCGCCGTAAAAATACGCATGTCACATAAGCAACTTCTAAATTCGGCCATCTTTGTTCCAAAACAGCAGCATTAATGAGCTTCTCCCTTGAAGCGACCCCCTTCCTACGGTGTCCTTAGCGATTTCCATAAATCTACATGCACGTTTGTGTACGTGCCGCGACACCAGAGTGGCCTCGCATTCCTTCTTTTTCCCCTTCCGTCGCGGCTCTCCCTCCATCTAGGATCATTTCACACATCTGCAAGGCGCCGCCGCTCCGAGGCCCAGCCGGAGGTGGACGTCTGAGTGGATGGATGGGCGCCGGAGGGCGACGGGGGGAGGAGGAAAGCGGGATGACGGAGTTCTCCCGAGACACTTGGACATGCGGCGGGGGCCAGGTGGCGCTGAGAAATGTCACTCGAGATAACCGCGCTGACGTTTCGAGGATGCGTCTCCGTACGCACGCTAACGCTTCCACTCGTCTTGTCGGGACTCCTCGTCGCCACTTCCTCTTTCCCTACTCCGCTATCTGCGTACCGCTCTCTTACTGTTAGCTCAGGCTGCGCAAACACGTCTGTATGGGTCTCTCTTGCCCCTTTTCCACGTGCTGCATTTAGAACGAACGGCTCAGAAATGGTGTCCACGCAGGCTAATTACTTACTTTTAAAACCATTATTGTGTACTGCTTGAAAGTAGGGGTAATTTTTGGTTCTGTGACGAATATCACTGAGATGAAGGTGCTAATTATTGCCACGATGGGGGGGTGGGGGGGTGTGACACGGCAACAGCCATACAGTCGTTAAAAGCAATTACATGCCTATAATCATCAGAGCAAATGAACACACTTTAAGAGTTCTGACTGATGCTCTGACACGGGGAAGGTAATTCAATGTTGCCTGGCAACACTTCCAATTACCGAAAGTAAGCACTCGAAGCCAGCGAAGAACTTTCGCCCTGTGGTTTCTCCCATATCCGAACACTGAGCCGAGTAAGCTGCTGTGTGACGTGAATGTGTTTTGTGCGATAAGAGATGAGAGATGAGACGGCGGCGTGGTGGGAGGGGGAGGGGGGTAGCGGGGATGGGAGGGCGGGGGAGTAGCGGCGTGCGCTTCAAAGAGAAAAAGGAAGGGGGCAAGGGTTTCATAACAAGACTTCAGCTTGAGCCGAGACTTACGGTGGACTGTTTTAGTCGGTGAGATGTTTGCGCGCCACGCTAACTAAATAAATAAATGAATAAATAGATAGAAGAATAACACCAGGGCGGGGCGGAGCAGCAGTTTAAAACAATATATGCTTAGAATATCTCATATGAGAATTAAAATTTTTGGTCGACATTTCAGAAAGCATCGTGGAAGATGACATGTTTCATCCGCTTTCGAGGGGCCACATAAAAATGATGTGGCGGGCCAGATCTGGCCCCCCGGGCCTTGGGTTTAACACCAACGATCGAACAGTCGCCTACTTGGTTAATCAGAAATTCTCGCGACAGCAGTGTATTGCAGTGTACTCCTGACCAAGAAAAAAATAAATAAATAAATAAAAATTCTCCTATTTACTTTTAACATTTACAGTCCACCTCCACACTGTGTATCTCGGCACTTAGACGCCGACATTTTTTCACGGTCTAAAGTCAGGGGTGAAAGCTGTCAAGTCACTTAATGGAATGACATGTGAAGCCCGAGGCACTTGTGTACTACTTTGTGCTTGTCGGCGTCCCGGTATTATAGTGAGGAAGGTTAAAGTTCATGACCAAGTTCAACGCAATCATCGGCTCATGTAATATGCCTTTTGTTTTCTCCGTTCCCTCTTTACTGCATTGTGATGCATTGGACGACAAATTCCTGTTTTCTAAACCACTCGGGTATGTCAAATGTAACAAAAATAAAAACACAAAAAAAAACTGACCGGCGCTGTTGAAACCGCAGCCCAAAAAGAAACCTCTGACCTCCGGAGCCTCTCCCATTAGCGGCTTATGGTCTGCTGTGAAGGATTCTGTGGACCAAACAGAAAACAAAAACAGACTGATATTCAGACAGGCGAGCAAAACAGATATGACGAAAGCCATTAGTCATTCGTCATCACTAATTTGCATTTAATATGATCTTTCAACTTCTCCGTATTTCCATTTTTTTTAAATTTCTTTGTGAGTCAGTACGGAGGTGTCTGTGAGCAATCAGACCCAGCAAGATCACAGATGGATTCTATTCCTCTCTAAATTTGAATGTGTGAGATCTTTTTATATGGAAAACTGGTTTACAGCTTCCGCATCAGCGTGTGTGTGTGTGTGTGTGTGTGTGTGTGTGTGTGTGTGTGTGTGTGTGTGTGTGTGTGTGTATATACCTGGGCCACAGACAGTGGATTTAATACCAGTCTGCTCTAAAACGGGTACTCTGTTGATGGCGCCCTCGATATGTTGCATGAATACGTCCCAGTCCAAGTCAAACAGGCTAAAGGCAAACTTGTCCGAAACCTGCGAACAAAACACAAACTCAGAATCCCCAACATCATTAACATGACAACATTCATTGCTGACATCTGTCAGTTCAAGTTTTGTTTCCTCCCAAGTTCACGAGTTGTACGTCTCAAAGTCCCTCCTCCTGATCCAAGCTTAGTTCTTCTCTTCTCACTCATGCAGGTCACTGATGCTTCAACTTTAAAGTCTTGCCTTCCACACTTATCTGGCTCAGTCAGTAAGACGGCACTTCAAATCAGTCTGGTCCCTTCCTCGCTCTTCAACTCGACATTTTGCCACTGATAAGGTCAACCTAATTCTTTGTCTTTAAAATGTCCCATAAGGGAACCTTTGAAATGTATTTATTAGAAAATCTGCAAATTAAAAAATGTGATAGGGGTCTGGAATAGATTAACAGGATTTACATGATTTCTTATTGGAAGCATTGCTTCAGTTTCCATTCAGTCTTTTTTTTTTTTTTCGGACGGATTAATCATGAAAACTAAAGAGAGGTTCCACTGTACTCTAATAAGCACTAAGAATAGGAACCGTCGCTTGCTGAGATTCGCTGGCGGCAAAGCACCACACAAAGCTCCTCAACTGACTTTCACATAGTTCCCCAGCATCAAAATGCAACAAGATAACGGCGGGCTGTCTAAGTAGCGGCTTCGTTTTAACACGAAGATTCAAGGTGACGGTCACCAGTTTGATGTTGCCAAGGACTCTTGTGTCATTACGGCGCAAAGACGCCGAAAGTGGAGATTGCTTTTGTCCAATTCAGCGCAGTCCTCCACATCCTTCCCAAGACATCAATCCTTCTTACTTCGCCCTCTATTCTCCTCGCGTTCTCTCCGTTTCTGACTAATTCCCGTCTCCTCTTTCTCCTCCAAAGCGATCAAAGCTTTGCACTCGGCTGCGGAACGAGGAGAAAAAGATCAAGAAGTGGCTTTCTGCACGCATGAATCACGTCGCCGCACAGGCCAGCACGAAAACACAAAGTCACAGAGTCGTGAAATGATGACGTTCAATCGTCTGATCAAGTCACTCCTGAAACCCGTCAGAGAGACAAAGTTGTTTGCACTTTTTGTTGGCCATACAATTAAGTACACCTGCACAAATTGATTAAAAAAAAAAAAAAAAAGGAACCGCAAATCTGCTTTGACAAAGACATTGATTAACGATGTCAGAGTGGTGTTATTTTTTTCATGAGATATTCATAACAGAAGCCAAGAAAAACTGCAAACAAACTTAGTTCATCATTAATGATGATTTACTTTTAATTTCATTTTTTTTCCAATAGTGCAGGATAAATAAACAACTACCGTAGTGGAAAAAAAAAAAAACAATATGTGGGGGAATGTCAACGGGTTATCAAAATGTAATCTAAATTAATAAGCGAACCACGACCCGCACGTCTACCACAGTGATTACAAACCAGTGCGCCGTGGGAAATAAGACATTCATCCAATTTCGCTAACAGGTCATAAAATTATTGATGTATTTACGAGAAATAATTTATCTTTGTTCAGCTAGCCGCTGCACGCTAGCAATTTAAAGTCACAGGCAAAAAAAAAAAAGTGAAATGCCCTTCCACCAGATGACAGGCGGTACATAATTAACTTGTGTATTCACTTTTTGCGCTGAGTGGTTTGCAATGACATTTATTTTGTAGGATGTAAAATATGTACCTTGTCTCAATAAAGTTAAGTAAAGTAAAATAATGAAGTCAGTTGACAGGAGATCAGATGAAATGGCCGATGACACCTGACGCATTTGATTTTACGATTGGTAAGGCCTCACAGGATGTGACGTCAGCGCGCAAGTGCTTCAAAGATGACATCATACAACACATGACCAGGGAGATATATGTGACAGTTTACCTCTTCCCAAAAGATCGGGTTTGCTTCGTAGCCACCCACGGACAGGGCGTCCCCTTGCAGGCGCAGGTACACCGATGCATCGTGGTCCCTTACATTTGGCATATTCTGCACAGATGGATCAAAAACAGGATATTGGGACACATCACAACAACGGTGGGAAGTATTCACCTTGTTGCGTCCTCAGAGGAGCGCGGTGACAAAGCACGGAATGAATAGTTTTGACTCCAAGCCTGTTGTGCCGTCTTCTACTTGCTTTGTGAGGTGCTTTTTCTTTTCATTCCGACTTGTTCTGTTGACAGTGCAGCGAGTCGTAGGCGGGATGAAAACATGTACACAGCAGTAAGGCACTACTTTCTGTCTTTTGGTTTTCTTATTTATTGGAGCTACAGAGGAGCAAAGAGTTTGAAAATGCTCTCTGCAGGTAGTCAATATGTCGTATTAGTTTCAAGTGAGAGTTAGACTCCGCCAAGGCAATTGTTTACACTGCTATGATGTCAACGAAAAGGCAAAGCGGAGCTGTATCGAGTTTTGTCGGATGCACCGACTGCATTAGCTGCTGAAAAGTGTCACTTTATTGATCGGTGACAATGTGGCGGTAGGGGCTAATTTTTAAAGGGAGTGTATGACTGCTGTCAAAATCCTAATATCCTAAATTTTACGCTAAAGATATGAGTTCAGCTTGATAATAATAGTAGGGATAAGTGATATACTATTGCTGTTATATTTGGATAACAAGCTACACAGACTTTCTCCAGCAGCATCGCGACAACGCAGAGAAGCAAGCCGCATTTATCATCTCTTGTTTAACGGTGACAACATTTACGACTGATGATACGATGGATGAGAGAGAAAAAATGTGTTGTGATTCAAACTATAAACTCACGAGCAAAACGTTTACTGCTCTCATAAATCAAGTGTGCGACAGAAGCGAAATAATTCTTTCCAGACAGTCATAGATTGAGTCGCCCCCCGCTGGCCATTAGAAAGAAGGCAGTTTACAGCGACTGCCTTCATCCACTTCTTTGATCCAGTTCACGGAAGTGCGCGCGAGCGCGTGTGTGTGTGTGTGTGTGTGTGTGTGTGTGTGTGTGTGTGTGTGTGTGTGTGTGTGTGTGTGTGTGTGTGTGTGTGTGTGTGTGTGATGGAGCTCTAATGCTCTTTAAGCTCCTCTTAAACTATATAAGAGCGACTAGTTCTGGCTTAAAAAAACGCCAGCCTCTGGAGGATGAGCACTGTTAACACATGTGCCCACTGGCTCAGTGCGCGTTCACTAATTTGATTCACATGACGGAGTTAAGTTGTGCCACTTCAGATAGGACTTGTGTATACACAGCCGTGTTAATGCAATTAGAATAGGTAGACACCCCCGCCCCACACACACACACACACACGCGCAGAAAGAACCAGCTGAGCTTTTCACACATTGAATAACAATGGTCACAGTGCCCCCTGCAGGTGATATTAATTTTGACAGCATTTGTACCAGCCAGCAGGGATGGTTGGTTCGGCTGCAAAGAGGTTATTCACCTGAATGCCCTCAATCCTCTCTGTCACCACGTAGGCGTGATGCATGGCAATGAGGGGCACCTTCACTCCAGCCATTTCCCCCAACTTGGTGGCCCACACTCCTGTTGCATGAGCACAAAATGTTAGGTAATCACTTTCTATTCTGAATATACAGCAAGCAAGGGTAGGATTACTAACGTCGGCATTTGAAAATATTTTTGTCATATTTTCCTGCACTTGTAAAGTGGTGGTAAAATGGTGGTGGGTGCATGATACACCCCCCCCCCCACACACACACACACACACACGCACACAAATGAACATTTTTGCCTGACCTGCACAGTTGACCACGCATGGAGTCTCGATAGTGCCGTGCGGGGTCTCCACTGCTTTCACCCTCTTTACCCCGAGGTCATCCGCCCGCACTTTGATACCAGTGACAGGGCAGTTCTCAATCACCTGGTTTGGCAGAGTGGCATGGATACTTTTTGACTTGAGGATTATTCACGGATATCGGCATCCTATACAATGTGTAAAAGAACTGAACGCTGAAGAAATATTGTTGATAAATTTGTGTTAAAATCCTGACATATTTAAATTTGATTATCACAATTAAACAGATGTCAAATGGGTACCACATTTCACATGAACCGGTAAGTCAATGTTACCGTCGCTCCCCGAGCAGAGGCCGCTCTGCTCAGGGTGGTGCAGGTCCCCGCGGGGTCCATGGTGCCATCTTTGGGCACGTAAAGTGTCCCGTAGAGGTCGTCAACGTTCATTAGAGGATAAAGGTCCTTCGTCTCAGCAGGTGACAGCACGTGAGACTCTATACCGTACACTTTACCCAGCTGGAAGAAAATGAGACGTTAGGGCTTTCGTGGATGTGATTTCATACACACAAACGAAACATTCGCAACAGTAAATCGAATCAGCAAGAAGGGTCTCGATGGTAGGAAATCACACATACCAGGAAAATGAACTTCAGACTTTTAGCAATGATATAATCAAAGCAAACAAAGCGGCGACTACCGACGTGTGTTACTCAAGTACGGAGCCAAACAACAACGACAGGACATATTTTAAAGCGCCGACAAGTAACCTGCAAGAGTTAGCAGTTCTGCGATGGGAATTTTCATCTTCGAAAACATGTCGTTGGAAAGTACCATGTACAGTAGACCGTGAAGGCGGTTAAAATCAAAACATCAATATATCCTCAGAAATGGCATGTTGCCGTTTGACAGAAATACAGTATATATATAATTTTTTAAAACGACGACGACCCTCTAACTGACCTTGAACAATTAATTTCCTCACGGCATAACATTGCAAATGCAATCTACCCGGAGATAGAGAGCAACAAAGCGCCGTCATCCGGGAAATTTCAACAGTGCTCAATTTAGTCTTACGGCAATAATGGCCGCCATTGCTTTACGGCAGTCAAAAAGCCCGGCCGATCTCGCTTCTCACCGACATGAGGCGCTTGTACTCGTCCAGCCGCTGCTTGTTGGAGGCGATGAAAAGTCCTCCGTTCTGGATCCAGCCGGTGTGGAGGCCCGTTTCTTCCTCCAGGTCTTTGCTGATCACGTTCCGCGTGTGGGCCAGGAGCTCCACCTCAACGTCACTCGGGCGCAGCTGCCACAGGAGGCCTCGAGGAACGAAAGAACCAACGAAAGGCACGGACAAACAGAAAGGCGCACACGCAGGTTTTTAGGCATCGAGGCACCAAGGGCCAACAATTGGCACACATGCTGATCACTAAATCAACAGTAAAAAAAAAAAAAAAGACAGTTGATGTCTTGGATGTCACTTTAGTCACACTTGGACTGAAACGTTCTCGAAATGTTTTGGAGTCATTGTGGTTCCGTGCATCCATTTGAGTGAGTTGGAGCCTACGCCAGCCGCGTTTACCTGCTGTGTGCCAGGTGGTACCGGCAGTCAGTCGGTCCCTCTCCAGCAGAACCACATTACTCATGCCCATTTTAGCGAGGTGGTAGACCGTCTGACAGCCCAGACTACCTCCGCCGATCACCACCACATCTGCTGACCTGTACCGGGCGGCAGGAGAACAAAAGGTAGAAAGGAAGCTAACGCCGGTCGTGTCGTCATGAGTCGGTAGTTTCTACCAAGCACTTTGGTTCGGTACAATTTATGACATCAGAGTGTGGTTAAACGAGATCTGGCTTAAGGACTGTATAACCCAGTGTTGCCACAAGTTCCGGTAAGTACTGGGACTGGCACGTCAAGCCATCATACAGAAGCTCGTCTGTGATGCGTATCAGGTTCAATCCTTTCTGTACAAATAAATAGAGAAATATCTGGTTCTGGATGTGTACTTTGTCATGCTCACGGCTTTTTTATCATGGTGTTTGTACATTTTGAGCTGGGTTTGCTTGCTTGTCACTATTCACAGAAGCACAGCGCGACGCACTCGGCGCATGTCGGCTTTGGAAAATCCAGGCTTATCCATTTCATCCGGTGGTATGCTCACCTTGGTAAAGGTTTCGTTGGCCCAGATGCGGCTGCGTCATCTTGTTTGAGTGTCTTCTCGTAGGGGACGCTCTTCTCTGTGGTAGGCTCCGAGCTGTAGGTCCGACAACTTGTGCGGCACAGAGGGGAGGTGAGCTGGGGGCGCGCTGCCGACGCCAACCGCCGAACCGCACACCCAAGGAAGGCCATGGCCACTGCGGACAATAAAGAGACAGAAACCTCTCATTAAATATGACGAACTCCTGTGTGGATGAGAATATTGCACTGCACAGAATAATACTGCCCAGAGAAATAGTACCTTAGAATAATTTTCAGGGTATTCTCTACAAAAACAATTAGTTCCGACATATATGTATGTATATATTTTTAACTGCTGTAGAAACGCTCTGTAAAAGGTAGGCTCTGTTATTTTTGAAATGTATTTATTTCATGTTGTTATTTAGCAAACGCTTTTGCAGGTAAAAGTCGGCGTCAGCAATACTGACGGTCGCGAGATGACGTCAGTGAGGAAAAGTGGAGTCGAATTCATTTGAAACTGTGCTGTCCTTTTCCCATGTTCAAAAAGAAGCAACTTTTCACCTCTTCACGACCTGACGACGGAATTCAACAAAGGTTAAGGAAAGGTACTATAATGGTTTGGGGATTCGACTTTTCGAAGAGTTTGTGATCACTCGTGGCTTCATCAGAATCCTTTTGGCAGTGATATTGACCTCAAGTTTCAATGCATTGAATGACGGGGGCAACAACACAAGCAATGCCTGAGATCGAACAAGACCTTGCAAATCAATTAACATTATTAAGATGACATTTGCAGACGGTCTGTTCATTTTAACACGAGAAATAAACGATTTCAAACCAAGGTGCGGAGGGGCTGTCACATTTCTCCGAATTGTGAACGAACAAATGCTGTCGAGGAGAAAAACGCTTGAATCTTTATTCGGCTACACTTTTAAGTTAAACTCGAAAGGCTTGCATTATGTGTGCAAAGAAAGTAGCTGAAAAGTATATACTGTGCAGCACAAGATCAACCATGCCTGCGAGGCAGCGACAGTGTTGCCTTACGTGGCACGCAGTTGCAGCAGCCATGACACTCGTAAACACTTACCGTAATTATAGAAAGACAAAAAAAAAAAAAAAAGAGCGAGAAAGCAGGTCCCGAGAAGGCTTGGAGTTAAATGTCCAGAGTAGATAAATTACGAGGAAAACGATGGGAGACTTACGAAGAAGTCACATGGACATCAGTACACAACGCGGAGCTGACTACTCGTTAGCCACGCCCTTCACTGCTCACGAAATGAGCTGTCGCAAATATATGGCCCCTGTGCCAGAACCGGCCCGTCATGGAGTCAAATCCGGCCCCTTATTACAAAATGTGGAGCTGAGAGAACATGCTTTGCGAAAATGAATACTTACTTAGAAATATTTTAAGATATTGAATAATGCAAAAAAAAAAAAAAAACATCAGTCAGTATCTTCAGTTCAAAAGGTTTGGTGGACAATTGTTTTTTTTTTTTTTATACACTTCCACAACTTGTGCATAAGATTCAAAAAAATGGCGGACCCAAAAAGTAGTACATAAATGGTTGATCCCAAAGACTTGTGTGACTATATCCTGCAAATGTGCAAAACATAATGAATAAGTAAACACGAGTTGTGTGGCAAACATGTCACGCATGTTCTCTCTCTTTCTCTGCAATTTGACTGGCAGAATTACATATTTATTCATGAATTCACTAAACTTCATATGCTGTAAAAGTGCCCCCAGACAAGAAGTATCTATCCATCCATCCATTTTCTAATCTGCTTATCCTCACAAGGGTTATGGGCGTGCTGGAGCCTGTCCCAGCTCTCTTTGGGGGAGTAGGCGGGGTACACCCTGAACTGGTTGCCAGCTAATCGCAGTATTCCATTAATATGCCAGATAAAATTTGTGTTCTACTGTCCACTGCCTCATGACTTAATATGTTCCACGCCTGATAAAAGAATAAAGGAAAAGGCTGAACAAATCATAACCTTCCAAACTCAGAGCTGCAGATATTTTTTTTTTCTTTTGAGTTAGGTAACTTGAGTGAAGTCAAGAGACAGTCGATGAATGATGTAGTGCGCTGGTGTGCCATTTAAAGCTCCAAAATGTGTACAGATATCAACTGCTTATGTGAGCATAGTAAAAGTGGGCTCGGAGGGCCTGTACGTTATGAAATGCCACCTCCAGGCCAGCGGCCAATGGGGAGCCGACTTTAGGAAGCCTCCTGCAGAAAGTGGCTCTTTCCTGTTCGCGCAGCCTTGAGCAAGGTAACGGGACAACAACGGCGGAATCTCACAATCTTTGCCTGCATTTGCGCTTTCGTGTGAACAGTGTGAAAATTAACCTGGGGAACCTTTGAACGGCGCCTTCTTCAAATCCAAGCCGTGGTCTTGGATAACAGTATCTAATCTGGACTATTGTATATCAAGTGTGCACAGAGTGAGAAACAAGAAACTAAAAATTTGGACATTTCAGTTAGGTAGATTATCAATTGTAACGATGCAATGGAAATTTTTCCTTTTCACTCATGGAGCTATCTTACACCGATGCCCTAAAAAAATAAATGACTTACAGACTTACACAAGCGTGTATGTGTGTGTGTGTATACGGACGTCGTGAAGCGTCTCTTGCAAATTCTTCCGCTCACAACTCGGGCTAAATTTAGCTCCTTCCCGAAACAGTTCGTCTCTTTGGAGATCCAGTATGTATCATTTTACGCCTATTTGATGCAGCTTTGGTGCCACCTTGTGGCAATTTAAGGTATTCAAAGAAGACCACAAACTTATCCATATCTCAACTCATAGACCACAAAGGGAAAAAATGTAATTGTGTTTTTAAACAGTGAATCTCGAATTTGCAGGTGATTCATGTAGTAAAAATTGGTTAATATCTCAAGTCCCTGTTCAGAAAAATAAGGAAAGACTGTCAAGACACGAGCACATACTCAGCTGTTGATTGAACATTCCTTACAAACAGTGCATCATTTAAAAGAAAAATAAAAAGCCCGCCCCTCCCCCCAATGTGTAAAACGTATTGGTAAGTAACATTGTTCCAAACATAGAAATCTACTCAACAAAATATATGTATATATGTAATTTCGTTTAATTTGTGGCGGTATCCCGTTTGATCTGTTTTTGGAGTCACTCTTTTCCAGATGAATCTAGGTCATGCAAATCACACAAACGGCTGTATGTGCAGCTGGGCTACTGCTCGGGGGAGAAATGCACAGATGGATATAAGCTGCACAAGGTTGAATGAAAATATCACTGAGTCTTCCAAAAAAATAATAATAATAAATAAATGGGGACATGATTCGGCATGTAGCCTTCAGTTGATCATTAATAGAAGTGACTGAGTCATCCCCTCGCAAAATACACGTGTACACTCTTTAGGGTTATGCAACATGCAAGTCGGCTCACAAAACCAAACATATGTAGATTTTTTTTTTAGGGAAAGCGCCATCTAGGGGAAATGTGTGTCATTGCGGGCAACTTTGACATACTCTAGCATCAGATGGAATCTTCTTTGAATCACATTTTTTTCATGTTCTGATAAAACTGCCGCTCCACATCATCATCTCCAACATCAAGTCGCAATCATACAATGAGAATGTTTTAATTCCAATTATTTGTGATACAGTTGTTGCTTTCTTTCGAGCACATATCGCAACAAAATGCACGAGGCACAGAAGACACTGACAAGTGGGGGGGAAAAAAAGTTGCGAGACATGAAATAAATTAAGACATGAAAGCATTTCGAGATGAACAAATCAGTAATGCAACTACCGGTTGCATTGAGCCGTGATTGCCGTGATTGTCTTTAAAATCGATGTTGGAGCATCAAGATATATTGGTTACTTCAATTGTAACTCCGTCGAGATGAACCTGAAAAGCCAGTCGTGCAAGAGGAAGTAAATTAAAGCTTACGTTCTGAGTTTGGTTATTTAGGTAGATGAGAGGGGTAATAACGGAAACATGTCCGATTATGATGCTGCATCTTCACCACGGGTGTGAAACGTGAAGCCCGTGGGAAAGATGCGGCACCACTCACAAAGTTTGCCCACTTTTTCCCCTCGACTTCAGTTCAAAACAATTTATGCATCATCAAAAATCAAATGCAGGTGCAATTATGCAACATGTTGGGGCAATTACTAGGCTTCCCACACAGAACATATTATGTAAGAGACAGGAAGTGCAAACCATCTTGCACTCTAGCCACACATTTGGTCTGTAAACAAACACAGTGCAGTTCAGCTTGTGGCTAGCCATGTTTATATCCTGTATATATAAACAACAAAAAGAAAAAAGTCGCACAGTAAAAAAAAAAAAGCAACATCCCCGGCACTGTCCTGCACTCTTTAGTGAGAGCCCAAGTAATTACCAATGCCATTATTACTGTTTTCATGGCATAACAATTCACACCGTTACTTTTGCGCTCATGTATAACTGAACTATCCAAAGAAGAACACAACTTAGTGATGTTGAAAAGATTTAAACCGATGACGATTCATTTGAAACGTCATTACACCCCAGTGTAGGTTGTAGAACGTGATATTTGGCAAACTATGACGTGGCCTGTCATGAAAAGTTTGACGCCCCCGCACTGTCCTGCAGTGTCAAAACAAAACAAAAAACCCCCATAATTATCTTGCAAAGGTCGATTCTTATTGGGGTTTTTTTTCATTGTCTCTCAGATTGTGTAGGTGTACCTAATGAAATGTCTACTGAGTTCACTGATGAGGTAACATTTGTTCATGAGCAAACAAATGAATAGTTTGTCACAATCACACATTCAGAATGTTAAAAATGTCTTTTCTCTGTAAAAAAAAAATGTTTTTTGTTGTGCAAGTCCTAATAAAAGCAGTCCCTGATAAACACAAAAATGTAGTACCCCACCCACCGTCCTGCTGCGCCATGACATCGCTATGCGGCGCGCTTTGTAGGAAAGCCCACCTTTAGTTAGGGTGGTCCGCGCCACACAGGGTGGGATTATGAGAACACTTCTGCCCCGACGGCATTCACCTCTCTCTCTCTCGCCTGCCGACGCTTCTAAAGCTCGTCCCTGTAGGAGGCCGACAGCATCTCGGGTGGCGGTACGCCGCCTTTCAGTGTCTTGTGGGAGCCCCTCCAGTCGGTGCGCACGGCGTCGTCGTCCCACAGCGTGGACGTCTCAGTGTCGCTCACCCACTGGGGGTCGCCGGCGTAGTGGCAGGGTTGCACGAGGAGCGGGCGTGTGCTGAAGGTTTGTAAGTTCCTGTTGGGGAAGTGGGACTTGTAGTCCTCGCTGGGAGGAGAGAGAGAGAGAGAGAAAAAGGACGGAAATATGAATCCCCATGACATCAAGTTGTCATATGACAGCACTTCATGCAGTGGCTCCTTATACTCCTTTCAAGAGCGCAAAGGCCAAATATGGAACTCCAAAGTGCTGTGTAGTCATTGTACAGTTCTTAGCGGGTAAGTGAAGCGCGTTGAATTAGAATCCCAGAAGTGCTGGCCACAATCCATTTTTCCACACATGTCGGAGAACACGGACACGGCCAAGCCTTCTGGTGTGTAGGCCTCTCAAGTATTTAGTCCCGTGTGTTTTATGTATCGCAATCGCTGCTGCGGTACGGCCAACTATGCGGCAGAGAGGCTTTTCAGGGATCGACGACTGAGTTGGGATCGCAGGCAAATACAGAAAAGAAAAAAAAACAAAAAAAAAAAACGTGAGCGACAAAGAACACAAAGACAACATGTGCAAACATTTTGCACGGGTCAGGAAAACAAGATGTCGGGAGGAGGAAAAGAAGGCAGCTCCCACTGGGAATGCTTGAAACACGAATACGAGTGAATATCAGCTGAGCTCCATGATTCATTTCAGATTCTTTGTGAATTCCTGTCTGATGATGTGCGGCCACAAATTGCCTTCAAAATAATTGAATAACAATCCATCGCGGAACACATGACACACACGTACGTAAGAGCAACCACTGGGATCCATTTTATGCTTCAAATGAGAAAACAGAAGAAACCAACGGTGGAGTTGTAGGGGACGAAATGAGTCTGGAGACGTACTTGGGATGTTTGTCGTACATGATGGGGAGGAATTCGTCGACAGGAAGCATCTTGGAAAGCGGCTCTGCGTTCAGCAGCTTCTGGGCCCCCTGCTGGGAGATGGCGTACGAGAGGGTCCAGTAGGAATAGTCAGCCACCACCAGGTTCTGGACGCCGTCCACCGCTTCCTCTTTTGTGGGGTTCACCTGCTTCCTGCCAAAGTATCTGTGGTGAAGCAAAGTAATGAGAAGGAAAAATGAACACTTTCGAAGGTTTGGGGGTTAAATCGGCCTTCCTGTGTTCCAGTTTGCACGCTCATCCCAGGCTGGCATGAAGCCCATCTCCGCTAATCGCAGACAAATAACCATTCGGACTAACCTCCACATCTGTGAACCGAACACACGTTTGCAACGGATGTTTGCGGAACACCAAAGCACAGGGCGGACATGTGAAACCGGAGCCGAGATTCCAAGAGCAAGCCTCGCAGCTGTGAGGCAGACATGCTTAGCACCAGGAAATGTTCGTCATCCATTATGCTATGAATTAAGAAAACTGCACAGCAAGCAAAACAAAACCTCTCGCCGTGGTAGAGGTACTAAAAGATGTCTCACATGAAGTCCCAGTCCAGCTCCACTTGCTCCACCTCCTCCATCAGCCTCAAAACGCGTCGTTTAAAGTTTGCCTGGAAGCGGACGTCGTCTTCGAGCACCAGGGCCTTGTCCAGCTGCATGTCCACCATCTGGAGAGAACAACATGAGCACACCCCCCCGGGGGCGCATGACCTAAAATCTTCACATTTTGGTGAAGCTTTTGTTCTTACTCATGTTACCGACCTCCTTCCAGATGTAGAAGTGGCTGAGGAAGCAGCCCACCTCCCCTTTGGTGAGGGTACGTCCCGAGAACGGGTCGTAGTAGCCCGGTAGCAAGTCCACCCCCAGAATCTTGATGTCGCTGCTGTTCAGTGCACTGCGCACACGCACACAAATGCAGTACGGTATAGAAACGGGATATTTTCCCGATAAACGACATTCCAGATGACAACATTTCATGATTGCAAATGGTACAAGATGTGGGGACCGAATCACTTTTGATTCTGGGGGGAAAGGGCGGGGCTAACTGCTCTGCCCATCCTTCAAATCGATTTGGGGGATTTCTTTCAAGAGCGTACTCACTTCCCATCCACGGCGTCGACCACCTTGACGTCGATCTCCAGCTCGTTCAAGGAGAACAACATCCTGTCTCTGCGGTCGGGCCGCCGGCGCAGATTAATCAGGTAAATCTAAGGAAGACAGTGAGGATGGTTATTCACCGCCATCCCTCCCAAAAAGACCTATTATTATTTTTTTTCAAAATGGCATTCAATTAAATATTTATTTTGTGATGCATTTTATTTTTTATTTTTTTAAAAGGAGGACACAACTAAACAAATGAAAAGAATTATCCGCTTTTCAAGCTCAGAGTGTGGGAGGGTGTGGGAAAAAAAAAAAAAGATTGACCTCATCGAAGCCCATGAGGTCTCTCTGCTTGGGGAACATGTGGACGTATCGGGAAGGTTTCATCGGAGGGCCGTCAACTGTTGGAAAAGCCACCGTAGAAAAAAAAGACACTGCTGCATTTTCGCACGGGGTAATGAAAAAGAAGGAAGAAGGCAAACGAGGAATTGGGTTTTGAGCTTACTCATGGACTCCAAGTGGACGTGGACAAAGTTGAGGCGATCGTCCTCCAGAGTGTGGTGAGGTTTGGCCGGGAGATTCAAGTAGCCGTAGCGCTCCTTGTTGCATAAGTACATTTGAATTTCTGCAATCGATTGACAAAGAATGCTGTGATGATCACCACAGAACCAGAAATTGAACTTACTTGGACATACGAACACTGTCGGGTTGCTCAGAATATAAGCAACACATTTCATTAAATACAACAAGTCTTTATCACTCCCATCAATATCAATAGGATGCTACTCAATGGCACTATTCCTCTCGATTACGAGTCCGGTGAGATCACCGAGAGGAAAATGAAGCGCTACACCGCCAGTGATTACTGCTTGTAATTCAATTCTGTGTACGGAAAAGATGCTGCACTTTGGAGCTTTTTTTTTTGTTTGTTTTGTTATTTAATTGCATTATGAGAAACATAGATACAAAATATTCTCACAAAACGTTAGCACACCTGCGGCTCGGCAGGAGAAGGCAAAGACGATGATGTCGTCGTAGGGCCAGGAGTACTCCTTGTGAGGAGGGTAGAAAGCCAGTTTCTTCATTCCCGCCTTTCGTAAGTCCAGCAACATGGTGGAGTGCACCATTGGGACGGGGAAGCAGCCCAAGCGGTGGCGGTGGCGGGTGGGGAAATACTCTGCTGTCCTTCGATAATATCCCTAAAAAAAAGTGGAAAAAAAAAAGTAAAACAAAAGTAAACTTTTCTGATGAGTGTAACGTTGCGCCTCACCTGTGGCGTGATTCCACACCAGAAGTTGGAGTACGCTCCCTGAGAGTCCAGCATGGGGGCTATGACTGACTTGTTCTCAGCGATCAGCAGGTTGAGGGTGTCGGGGTTCGTCAGGATGTTGTCGGTGTCTGCATACTAAAACAAAGATGACATTTGAGTCAAACTTGTGTTTGGAGAATATTAAAAAAAAAAAAAAAAAAGAACCAGAACTCAATACAATACAAACCTCTGCCGATGTTGACAATGGGGAATATAATCCTTACTTTTGTTTGGTCGACCGCAATTGTGGGAGCGGCGCAAAGAATTCATCTAGAGGAGTTATTTGCATCTTTAACCCCCCCCCCACCCCCACCCCCAAATTTGGCGGAGGTGTGTTCCCTCCTGAAAGGCGCAGTTGTATTCCATACCAGGATGTAGTCAGCCCAGCGTTTCCTGGCAAAGTTGAGCGCCGCCTGCTTTAGCTTCATCACATACTCGTATCTGCTGTTCGGCCAGTGTTTTGGACCAAACTCTCCGACGTAGGACCTGAAATGGGGCATTGTATATATAGAGTCACATTTCTGGGGACAAAAATAAATAAATCATACACATATACAGAGAGAAATGTGAGACATCGAAGTGGCTGAAGACAGAATTAGTTGGAGATGATTGAACGTGCACTGAAAATGAAAGCTTACACAGGCTGTTCCATGGGTCTCCACTCCACGTAGTGGTAGAACTTCTGCATGATGGTGAGCCACTCTTTCAGCACGGCTGTGGTGTTATCTGCATTGTGATCTGTGGCTGCCCTGCGGAGCACCCAAAAGGCAGGTTGAAAAATAAAAACGGTCAATTTCGTGTCACATTGACAGCTTCAATAATTGCGATGAGACACAGGCGGAATAAGTCGGCTAAGTGCCCACTAAAGGTCCAGGGAGTCACTGTCATTGGTCATGTTTTAGATGATGGAAGCAGCTTCTTTATATTTCCGTTATACGCACAAAATCACACACCTCACAGCTTTTTTAAAAAAATAATGATTTCTTGAGTTTCAGGCAACTAAAATTACATATCACCCAAAGCAACATCTGTACTATTGGCCACAACGTAAGCTCCAACTTCAACTCAACAAACTGCGAGATGGTTCCACAAAAGAGAAATCAAACAATGCTCTCGCCACAGGGCTGCGGACAACTCTACTTAACTGGCCCCTAAACAAAGGTTAAAACATCACAGCAATTCCAACTCCTTCCTTGTGGTTTCTATCGAACACCACGCACGAAAACCAGTGGACAATTCAGCTTCTTTTCCCACTTGCTCACGACTGAGCGATGAGTTCGGTGTGACACATTTTACATTTACGTGTACAGATGGACTCTGGCTATACATGAAAACTCCACACAGCAAAGACTCACAACCGAAACCTCAGAACTGTGAGGCAGACGTGCTCGCCACTACTCTGGCCCACATCATTCCATTTTTATAGTGCGGGCCCTTCAATTGGGTCAAAGGTGATCTGGAGCCGAACTCACCTGACTTTGGGCGAGAGATGGAGTACAATCTGTGCTGGTTGTCAGTCACAGACATCCGTTCAGAACCACACCAATCAAGAGTCATCGGTCAACCGAACGTGCACGTTATTGAGTGTCAAGACGAATACCCGGTACTCTGTTGCTCACGGTATAATATGCACAGAAAATTCGACACTGAAAGGAAAACTCGTGGATTTGTGTCTTCCTTTGGGATTTGTGCATCAAAGCGCCTCTGTTAAGGACACTACAAAAGACATGAACTTTACAACAAACACGAATCCAAAAGGTATTTCTACAAACAAAAAAAAAACCCAAGAATGACCCATATTGGGCGTCGAACCGAAGTTTGACAAAGTGGAGCCAACAGAAGGATTTGCGTGAACGTTGAGCTCGCAGCGGGAGCTGTTGGGAAAATGCGAGTTGGTGTCTTTTATGCTCATATTTAAACGCTTAAAATGAATTCACCCACCACACCGAGATGCGATCTTTCGGGTAGTCGAGCCTCTCCAGGGCTCCGAGGTAGTAAGGCAGCGAGTGAGCGGCGTTCCTGGCTATGATGGCGACCACCACCGTCGGAGGCTGCATTCTCGACTCTTCGGGATATCGCTCCTCGGAGAAATAGCATTGGGTCGGGGACAGCAAGACCACAAAAACATAAATCGGGTAGCGGAGCAACATGGCGAAACAAACTCCGAATATGCCGCTTCTCCTTCGTCTACTTCTGGAAAGAAAGAAGGAAGGAGGAGTAGAGGCAGCTGCCGGACGCGTCAGCAGTCCAAGTTACAAAAAAAAAAAGGGCATTCCCAAGTTTCCAAGCTCCCTTTTCCAGAGTACAAGTTAGAACATTTCCCCTCTTCTCGTCTTACAACTTCCGCCTATGTAACAACTAATTCCATGTCACAAAATTAAGGCACAAAACGATGGGATTTGTTAAAAAAAAAAAAAAAAATGTCATGTTATAAATGCGTTCTCTTGTGACAATATGTAATAATATATGTTGTGGTATCATATAAAGTCCACGTTAGCGTCGACCGAGTTTTGGTTTAAAAATAATTAAATGGTGCAACGTGGAAACAAAATCCGACTGGGGGGAAAAGCTGCAGTTCATTAACGTGACGTTAGACATCGCGGTAACAGTTGCAAACATTGACCACTGAGGGGCGCCATTTGACCAATTGAAAAGCTCCTTATTACCGCAGTGCTCTGTATGACAAATGTCATAGGCGATTTAGGACTAAACGGACATACGACTCTTAGAGGTTACGTCACGCGGCCAAAAAAAAGTTGCTGTCATATCTTCATACTATTCATTCATTATCCGAACCGCTTTATCCCCACTAGGGTTGCGGGGGGTGCCGCAGCCTATCTCAGCTACCTTCGGGCAGTAGGCGGGGGACACCCTGAACCGGTTGCCAGCCAATCATCTTTATACGATATAAATTATATTTATATGCGTTTATTTCCGATTCTGTTTTTATCTACAACTAATAAAAACCACGTGCTATTTATTCGTTCAAAATAAGTTGTATGTAAACGTTTTTTTTTAAATGCTCATAAATGTATATACCCAGGGAGAATTTGTGAAATACAGCAGTGGCACTTTTTGGGACTATCTATTCATTTTCTTTATTGCTATGTTTGCTTTTATGGTTGTAGTATTCTAAATTGCCTTGTAGTTTAATTTCAATCCCATTAAAAATGTAATTTGTTTTGCCTGATTACTACAGATCTTACAAATTCCGCCAGGTTATATAAACGTCTGAGTACAAGTGCATGTATTTTTACACTAGTCTATTTAAACTAGTGTTTCCCAACTAGGGTGCTGTTTTGATACACCTCAGGGGGCGGCCATTTTGCCACTTGCTGTCGAAAAATGACATCACAGTGCCTCGGGGCTCAGCTTGTGAACGTGCATGACAAAACCCAGAAAATATGTGAGCCATGATTGGTCGTTACCTGAGCCCTTCAGCACGGTGATGTCATATTCAGTCAACAGCAAAATGCTGATAAAATAAATAAAATATCTGACCTGTTTGTAAGGATAACTGATTCCAACCGTCGCTCATTTGGACAAATTCCCTACAAAGAGTTTGTCAAAGTACCAGTCCCTGGAGTTCACCCAAAATGGCCGACTTCCTGTTCGATTCCAGGCATTGTTCTTTGAGATTTCTTTGGAAAGATCAAATTTGACATGGCAGCACAAAGAGACTGAAATCTGATTGGGGATCTTGTTATAATCAGCATGTCCACCCAATTTTGTGGGATTAGTGAAAACGGCGCAGGGCTAATTTGTTCTTCCTGTCAGGGGGGCGCTATTTTGTGATTCCGGGCATGCTGAGACCCCCCAAAAAGATGATTCACTCATTGAAAGACGAATAATAAACAGAAATTCCAAGCGGGCCTTAACACCACCTAATAATGCTCATGCTCTAAAATGATCAACACGATATGGACTCATGTCATAATACTTCGAGTGAGATAAAAAAAAAAAATCCATGTCCACGTATTTCCTCAAACACCGGTCTCAATAAAATATACATTAAGAAGGGGAGTGACAGTCATCCTTTATGAATACCAGATTATTCTTTTTTTATAAAACTGTTGTTTAGAATGAATTTGGATTTAGCGGGTTCCAAGCACAAGCGGGCAGCGATGGCCGACAATAGCAGCGTTGGGCATTGAAAGGGTCGTTTGTGTGGACAGGTCAGGGGTTGAGGGTCAAAACTCTCCCTTTCATGACACTGTGAGTGTCACCACGCTCACACACCAGCACACGCATGCATGCACGCACACACACACACACACACACACACACACACACACACACACACACACACACACACACACACACGCACGCACGCACGCACGCAGACGTATGTCAGGGGGCCACTTTCCCAGCGTTCGGCGGCTGCGAGCGAGCTGGGAGAGTTCAACATCGGGTGCACTAACTTTTCACAGCGAGGTCAAGGGTGGCACTGGCGTTTATGCGCGGGGGTGTGTGAATTCAGGGCATAAGGAAAAGGGGACCGTTTGAGAAAGGATCCAAGACAAAAAGAAATTCATCATTGTTTGGCAAGAGAAAACGTATACAGGCTCACTTGACCTCACCTGACATGTTTAAAGGGCTAAATGACACACATTACAACGCACCATTTGCAGATTGAGATGGCTTAAACAAAATGAGAAGTCAGGAAATCCTACATAGCTGACCAAGAAACCCAAAATGTCCTCAGAATATTACAACTTTGTTATTGCTATATTCATAGAATTTTTAAAAGATATGACGACTTGATTATTATCCAGCGCTACGATTCCCCCACGTAAGTGTCGGACTTAGTTCTTGAAAATAAAAAAAATAAAAAACTTATTTTCATGGAATATTTAGGAATTCTTTTCTCAGAACAGTGTGTCTCTTTTCCGAATAAATAAATAAATGCATCTTTATATGTTTTCTGAATATGACATCTTATGTATCACATTTTTCCTCTTAATGTTTCAACTTTTTGGTTGTCAAAATGGAACTCGGAAACGCCCAACCGCTGCCATCGCCCCCTCCACTTTTGCACGGAACTGCTTATGTTCGTGGTATGTTTTGGTTGACCTTACCAGCTCGCCATACAGCGGCAACCTATACACCTTCTTTGTATAGGTTCAAATGTGCCTCTTGTGTGTGTTCAGATCAACTACGTATGGGCGTCTGAGATCCATGACATTCTCCCGAGCTTCCGGGACCTTTATTGCTGTGGCAATAATCAATAGCGCTCCCACAGAGACGTCTTTTTGGCCGGGGCGGGTCAATAGCTGTCACTCAGGGTCTGAACCGAGGCACGTACCCTCTTACTCAGCAGCTACAGAGCGCTCGTTCTGTCTTACTACGGCTACACCCACTCCCCAACGGCCCGCGGACACCGCGCATCTCAGTAGTGTCATGTCTGCACAATTCAAAGAGTCACATACTGTACGAGTGTACCGTTCATGAGGACCCGAGTCCAATTTTGTCATGTTCGTCACAGCGTGATGCTCATGTTACGGTGCTCTGCGCCAAGCCAAAAGCAATTTGAGCAAGTGAAAATGCAAACAGAAAAAAAAAAAAAAAAAAAAACATGATTCACTGATTTAATGTTTCATGTTAAAGTCGCTCGAAAGTGAACTCAGACATTTATTGCGAAATCTGTTGATTGAATTGAACTACTACGTTGAACTACTTTTCACAGTTTGAGTTTTCATGATTTTTGAGGGGGACGTGGCTAAAACAGTGGCCAGTGATGCATTCGCGCCACGATATAAAATTTTGAGCGCTTTTATTCGCATTGGTGGTTATCTGGTTCCATTGCGAGTCATTTAATTATTATTACTTGGCCCAGTTCTACCACTACGTAGCTAGCTAGCTAGCTAGCTATGCCTACACTGAAAAAATGCATCTTTCCTAGCTGTCACAATTTACAGAACAGTTCGGCATAATTATATGAATTCACAAGCGGACAGGTGATGCCGCCAACAGGGCCCATCGCGCTTCTATCGGCCGAGAGGAACTCTGGAAACCTGTTAGCGCGCAAGCTAGCTGGTGGCTCTTGTCTCTCTGAAAGCCCCGTGACAACCGGTTGGATATATTCCAGCCACCGGAGGCTTTAAGCGTGTATCTTTTTGAGCTCAAGCACGTAAGGGGTTTTTAGGCACAAGAAAGTTTCTAAAGAAAGTAAGATCCATTTTTCAGCGGGGCACGGTTTCCGACAGTAAGCGCACACAATCATCCCATTTTAGAGTGGAGACCATGGGTTGATTTTTCAGATATTTGGGAAACCGAATTTTATATACTCAGCTATTTTTTTAATATACTGGGCGATGGCACTTTCAATTGAATTAAAAATGCATTGAAAATAATCGGAAGCGAGCTGGTCAGAGTATGATTCATGATGCAAAGGCCTGAAATGATGCATGTAGCACAGATGAACATAATTAAAATAAAATGCAGATGAAGATATAAACTTGATGTATAGGGAGCAGCTTTACATTACCCCTGCTACTCCCACGGATGACGCTGTCCATCCGCCCTGGTTGCTAGGTAACAGTGCATCCAATGTCATGGCATGCGAATGGGAGGGGGAAGGAAGGTGTGTTTTTATGTGTGGTGTGGATTATTGGAGGCGTGAAGAGGGCAGGGAGCGGGGGGCGAGGGTGGAAGAAAGAGTCACTTTTAATCCTTTAATGTGAGTCATTATGCCATGATCTGATTCTTCCCGGATTTATTTGGCAGACACCAGGTGCCGCTGTCTTGCTTTCCAGTAATTGTTTTTTTTTTTTTAATTTAATTCATAGGCATTTAATTGTGAGGTCGTTGTATAAATCTCCATGTTTTTTTTCCATTGGTAAGCAGTTACGTTTGAAGTCCTACGAAGTCTGCCCAGCAAGAAGTGGTAGATTATCACCAGTGGTATGCGAAAGAATCACTGAATTAATTTCAAATCAAATTTACATTCAGAAAATTAATTCCAATCACCTATATCAAAATAAGGTTTAAAAAGTTGAAACATTTGTTTTAATCCTGTACTTTTCATGTACAGGACATTTTCATAATTTCATTGTAACTTTGATGTGTAATTTTTTTTCATTGATTCATTATTGTACAGTGGGGAAGAAACCACATGGTTGTGATGCAGCAGTGCTAACCACTGATCCACTGTACCGAGACGCCATTAAACCCTTCGCACAGACTGCCAGGGTATTAGAACAACCTCATCCTCAGCAGCAGGTTGGCGATGCCTTCACCGGAGGAGGTTTCGCCCACGAATTCCCATGCGGTTTTTGTCCCCCGTCTCCCTTCTATTCCTCACCGGCGTGGTTTGCCGACCCTCCCTGCCGACTGGGACCCCCCCCCACACACACACACTCCGCCAAGCCTTTTAGCCAGGGGGTTAAACATTGATTTGTGAATGGGGAGTGGCACAAGTGGTCCCCGCGTGGAGCGCGGCTGTCCCCTACTGCTTCAGTGTGAACACGCATACACACACACCGCCACGATACACCACCGAGAGCATCGGTTGCCATAAAAGGCAGTCAGCCAAATGGCCTTCATTCAACAACGCCATACTGAGCCCTCGCATTTCCTTGGTCACTGTAGCTATTCGGACAATGATGCTTGATTCTCTTCATCTCATTAATTTGAGCCAAATATGCACGGCAAAACATAAATGTGAAAATCATATTATTGTTAAAAGTTGTAATTTTATGACAATAAAGTTACAAGAAAAGTTGAAATGGTGGCAGGTCTAAATTGTGGCGCAGGCGGCGTACCGCCATTTTGTTGTGTTTAATCCAGGTGCAGCCACACAGATTCTGAGTTGGAGGTCTGTTTGCAGTTGCTTATAAATGTGCTTTGCACGCTTCAATCTTCTGCCTGAACTCCAGTGAGTTTTATTTCCGCTTCTGCAATCTCAAAGACGGTGCGCACGTCTCATGCGCTGGATTTAAAGGGAATGAGGTGAGCCACCTTCCATTGACCGGGAAAAACTGGGCACGAAAATAGGGCCTTTGTCTTTAATCGTGACAATATGATGTTATTCTTAAAAGAATACATCTTTAATTTTAGAAGAAAAAAAGAGCTCTTTTATTTCAAAAGTATAAGGCTTAATTCTGATAAAACTATGATTTTAGTCTAAATAAAAATGCCCAGATTTTAAGTTGTCCAATTTATGATTTTAATCCTTAAAATATACAACTTTCCTCTTAAAAATATAAATTTTATTTTCGGACAAGAACACCTTTAAAAAATCTGCATGTTGTCATTTCAAAAATAGATTTTTTTTTTCACTAAACTACATGGTTTTATTCTTGCAATGTTTCAATACTAATCTGAAAAATATACAACTTCATTGCCTATAAAATGATGACTTTATCATTGAGTGATTACACTTTTTTCCTCCAGAAAATGTCTGACTTTATTCTCCTAAATTACAAATTGAATCTTGAAAATATCACAAAACGACACAACTTTCCTCTCGCAAAATTAATCTTGTTCAGAGTGGCCCTCATACTGGTTCGTATTCGAATGAGTTTGGTCTTAAAACCTCGCGTAAACGTAAGACCGAAATGCTTTGGAATTACTGTGTGCAAAAAGCCGACATTTATCATCGCTACGAGGCCAAAGCTCTTCAGACCCGAGCGGCAAAGAGGGCGTCAAGGTGAGAGTGAAAGTGGAAGCCTCTTGACTTACTGGGTTTCCCCGCCTCGGGACGAGTCGGCCCATGAAAAGGGCAAAGCGAGGAAGGCGAGGACGCCGAGGTTTGCTTTTCACCACTTTTTGCAACCTGCAAGAAAAGAGCAATGAATGAGCGACGGGGTGGATGAATAAGAGGCGGGCTGAGGCTGAAGAGGGGCTCGGGCCCCGTGGATCAGCAGAGGTTAACTCGGTTCCTTCACAGAGATGAAAAGGGGAGGAGGAGGAGGGGGTTGGATTGAGCTTTAAAGAGGAGGACCCCCTGCGCCCAGGGCGGGATCAGTCAGGATGATTTATTAGAGACACAAGAGAGAGGAGAGAAGAAGAAGAAGAAGAAGAAGGGGTTGGATGCAAGGGAGGGGGCGGGGGTGAAAGTTTGTACTCAAACAAATGCTGCAGCGTTAAAAAAAAACGCTGAGACACTTTATTAGGTACACCTCCACATTCTAGTGCAAAAAGAGCCTTTGCAAACATAATAATGCCGAGTTGCTGAAAAATATAAGAAAACGGCAAAACGGTCACTAAAATAATATGAAACTGACCTTTTTTTTTTCCAAAAGGCTTTTCGACAAGCCACAAAGATTCTGTTACTTTGAGCAAATGAGACCAAACGTAGAGTTTTTGGGGCAAGCCACATCAGCTCTGCAGAAATCAAGAACACCAAGAAAAGAGCACAGGCTCGGTTATGCTGGGGCGATTTTTCTGCATCCAGCACAAGGTGTTACCCTGTGCTGGATGCCGGCTAAACATTCCCATACATGCATACAGAACGCCCATCGCAAGACGCTGTGACCCACGTTGCCATCCAAACTTTCCTTTGACGACAATATGCTATGAGATATTCTAACTCAAATTGGAAATTTTGTTTTCAACGGCTAAGTCCGTACTCACTTTGACTACAGCCCTAAGCGGCAAACCCTTTCTTCTTGATAGAAGGGGGAGGCCTGAGTGGGAGTAAATTCTGAACACACTTTTTATACACACTATGGAGACAATTACGGGACATTTATGATAAAATGTAGAATTTAGTATTGGTCGATTCATTGCCAACAGGGTGGCAAATAGAGTGGCAAGGCATTTTCAGCCTTGTACTACTAGTACGAGGCTGCATATTTTATATTCCTATTTTTCATGTTAATGTTCAAACTGTGTATAATATTACAGTGGCTCAATATATCATGACACATTTTAGGAACACAACTACTCCCTCGTTTTCGGTGAAGACTCGGACTCACTAATTTGTGTTCGTTATTATGGTGATATTTGAAGAGCCAATTATTTTCTTAGGTGGTACTTTGTGTCAAAAGTAAGAATGGGTGCGTACGGATACCAGGTCTCAATATTGGGCCAATATTGGCCTTATTTTAAAGTATCGGGTACTCGTGGAGGCTGCCCATATCAGCCACCGATACCAAAGGCAAGAAAAAACTATCTGACATAGAGAAAGGGGGTTAGCCAAATAACATATCCAAAATATTAGGAACCCATCACAGCACGCATGGCGCAGTGCTCCACAATAATAAACGCATTGTCAAATTCTCTGACAGCCGCACACGTGGCGCAATCATCCACATAGACAAAAGTTGCCCCATGTGCCAACGAGTCTTCTGTCACCTCCCATAATGCACTTCTTCTTTCGCCAACAAGGAGCCCTGCTTAGTACACAAATCTCCTCTCTTCTCTGCAGAACGGCTGCACATGGCGCTTGAAGGCACCACTTTATGTGGCAAGTGCCTGGCTGCAAGAAGCACACTGACACGTCATGCGGTGCGGGCCGCCGGAGTAAACAGTGTCAGAATTGTAATCTCCAGCCCCCCCCCCCAAAAATAAATAAATAGAATCGGGATGAGCAAAGACAGTGAGAAAAGAGAAAACGGTTGTTGTGTCTTTAAGAGGAGCTGCTGGTTTCTCGTCGCAGCTGTTGGCTGGCCCGCGTGTGCGTGCGTGTGCGTGTGCGTGTGTGTGTGTGTGTGTGTGTCACAGAGGACAGCAGAGATTCATGACTTAAGCAGTACAATGGACATTTATCACCCCGTGGTGTTATTCAAATTCAGTACCAAGCGAGGAGGCTCTCCGCGCTCCTCCCTGCGCCTTGCGTCTTTTTTTTTTTACCCCCTCTCTCTCTCTCTCTCTCTCTCTCTCTCTCTCTCTCTCTCTCGTATTGTTAAAGCAAGAAAAAGGCAGCGGGGCACACGGACACGCACCCAGTCACAGCTCGACACCCACGAGGGAAGGATGGCGTGGAAGGGGGGGGAAAGGGGGGGGGGGGGGGGGGGGGGGGGGGGCATCTGCAAGGACGAAGCTGCACCTTTTTGCTTTTTCTGGGCGACGTTCGAACGTATCCACGCACGACGGGGCACTTGAAGGCAGCCGGCAAGTGAAGCAAGGACGCGCTCAAAAAGAGGGAGCTAAGAGTGTGATATTTCTTTTTTTTTTTTTCCGTGACGTTTTGGGGTTACGATCCCGAAGATACCTGAAGCGCGTATTCTCCTTTAAACGGGGAAAGGATTTTTTTTTTTTCCCTCTCGCCTTCTTCTTCTTCCAATGGGAAAGCCTTTGTGCGTCTGGAAGTGAACCAATGACAGGTGCACAAATGGCGTCCTCTTATTAATGGTCTTTCGAAAGGGTCAAATGTGCATATTTTCATGCCAATGCATACTTATTTTTTTTCACGTCAAACGAGGTGTTTTTTTTTTTTTTTTAATGATTAGGATTTTGAATGAAGCGGAAAATGTGATCGAGGAGCTGCTGCAGAGATGTGGACTGACTTGAGGTTAACTTAAAAACTAGTTACGAAAAGGTCAATTTGCTTTTTATGTCGATAGGTTTTTGGTTTGTAATGACAGGCAAATATGTTCAAGTGTCCTAACCTGCGAGTGGGTGAGGAGGAGTTAGTGAGAAGATGCACATGACAGCAAACCCTTCTCAAAACACAACAGCTGAAATGATATTTTAAGCACGTCTTTTTTTTTTCTTTCGTTACCTTCCCTTGAGGACAAGTGGGGTCTTTTAGCGGCTGATTGTCCAAACGCAATTCTTGCGTCCACTCCAGTACGACCACCAAGAATTGTGTATGGACATCTGTTGCTGCAGACTCGCATTCATCACGTCACGCCGAGGCCTCTCTTTTCCATTAGTGTCACTGCAGGTAAGGAAGAAGGAAAAAAAGAGGTGGCGGGTGTATTTTTTGTTAGTTTGGACAAGGGGTGACATTTTAATGCACGGACACAGATCCCGTGACGCGTTCAGGGGCAAAACGTCGTGCCCCCCCCCCCCGCCCCCCTCCGATTGGTATTTACACTTTGTCGAACATCTAATCAAGGATGTTTGCTTTAAATGGCAAATATCGAGCGGGGGTGCCGTCGATGTACGACTTTGGTTTGGCAAATAGTCGAAAAGCAGCAAGTTGAGTGCTGACAGGCCGCCAGTGACGCACATTCAGCACCAAAGGAACAAACCTCACCACCATCCTGCAACATAATAATTACCAAATAACAACAAAAAAAGACCTACATGGCAATAAAACACACAAAGCAAAGGACATGCAATATTTGCCTTTAAAACACTATCGACAATAATTCATTGGCATTCACATTGAGAAAGCTGCTTGAAACACAAATGTATTGAAATGTTTTGGTGTGTCCCGACGAGACATGATTTTAGCAGTATTTTTCTTTACTTCCCGCCCCCCCTTTTTTTTTAAAGGTTGGCATGACAATCTTTTTGTTCCCACCCTCTGTGATAAATGAATTCTTGTCACTCCAAATAATGACAACTGGGGAAAAAAATAAAATGCTATAACCCTGGAAGATAATTTGTTGTGAGAATATTTAAAATGGAGTTTATCTAGAACGCGCGCGCAAACACACACACACACACACACACACACACACACACACACACACACACACACACACACACACTTACGCAAATACAAATTATTTTAGCAATGAATTCAAACGTGAATTGCATGTTGTCATTTTCCCCATGCACTTGCAAAAACACTCAACCTGATTTGTGGAGCGTAGTCCCAAAATGCACATTTTCTTTTCCGTGTGTGTGTGTGTGTGTGTGTGTGTGTGTGTGTGTGTGTGTGTGTGTGTGTGTGTGTTGAATATATGTAGCTTTAGGAAACACGCGCACACACACGCACACACACATACACACGCACACGCACACACGAGCAATCAGGTACATTGGATGTTTTCCACCTTAATTAAAACTAACGAGAAAAAACAAATTAAAAAGAAGTTGAGTGTTAATCAGTGACTGTCGTGTTGTTTGTTATGATATGCATTTTCTGACCCATCGACGTGTGTAACTTGTGATGCCTGCCAATCATGTGCGAATGCTATCCAATAAACAAACGATGAATTTAACAATGCCAAACTGTTAAAAAGAATCGAGGCGGCTACAGTGAAAGAGGAAATGAACTCCCTCCCCTCTTGGAAAATCAAACAAATCATCTTTGTGAAGGCCTCGTTTTAAAAGTCTCTCTTTTTAGTCTCCAGTGGGGCCCCTCGCATACTCATTAGCATTCCCTTTCCAGTTTATTCACGGACGCTTACCCGTTGCAAAATGGGACTTTACAGGCGAGATTGGGGGGGTTGCGGGGGGGGGGGGTGTTTAGGTCGCCAGGGGCGCTCGTAGGAGAGGGCAAGCCCTAGGCGACACCTCGACCTCCCGCAGTGATCCTGGAAAACACACACACACACACACACACACACACACACACACACACACACACACACACGCACACGCACGTGTCTTGGGTGGCTCAGCAGCAGGCCTTTGGCAGGCTTAAAATGTCCCTCAGGTGATCATAAAATACATTTAAAAACATCAGTATGTAAAATTATAAGAGAAAAATATGTGGATAAGATTTTTAAAAAACAGTTTTCAGTCAAATTCATGTATTAATAATTTTTTTTTCAAATTAATAAAAGATTTGGCAAGGGCAAGGCCTTGCAAGTAAACACAAATTGCATTGTTTGTGAGCCTTTAAATGTATTCATACAGACAAGTAGTACATGATCACATGATAAATATATAATTTTTTTTTTACTTAAATTAATAGGCACCACTTATTATACCGTCAGAAAACCGTATTAATAGACCATTCATTAAGGTGAAGTTTTTTTTTTTTAAAGAGAGGGAGAGAGATAATTTTAATTAGGTAACTAAAAGAAATTATATTCAGTTTAAAATGATGACAGAAGAAGGGCAACATGGATTTTAATACAGCGTTCATGGTCTTGCGTGGAATAATACGAAACACAGTGTGGTTACACAGGTTACAGGAAATAAAGAAGGTAGGTTCAGAACTTGGAAAAAAGAGAATGCGAAAAATCAATAAAACAAAGAGCTAAATACTGTTGATGGAATCACCTTGTGTGGATACTGTACATACATGTGTGTGGGGAATGACATGCTCGGGATGAGAACAAACACATGTTGTATGTTAAGGTTCAAATTTGATTTCAATAAAATAAAAAAAAATAAAAAACAGAAGCAAACTGAACATTGTTATGAGGATGTATTGTATGGAGCTGGTTTTGTGTTCATTTAGTGGGCAATGGCCCATATGAGAAACAGCATCACAGACACAGCATTCCTTCCACTAGTAGTTCAGGCTACAGCCTGAAATAAAAACATAACTAAAATAAAGAAGCCAACATAAAAATTTAAAAAAAGAAAGAAAAAAAGAATATTGTAGAGGTGGAAGGAATCACAAAATGAGTATCTCAACATTGTTATGCTGTAGATGTTTTTTTTTTTTTTTGTAAAATGAGCTTTGGCATGATGCAAATGATAAAATTACATAAAGAAAAACCCGTAACATTTTATTGTGTTTGTGGCAATATTTTTAAAATGCTTTGGGGAAAAACCTAAAATTATTTCAATCTCTGGTGTGGACGGTTTTGTATGGAGGTGGGTGTGCGTTCATTGATTGATGAATGCACCCTTGTGATAATAGCAGAAGCAACATTCCCATCGCTATGTAGTGAGCATTATTGTATGAAAAGGAAAGTGTTGTAATTGTGTGACTAATATATATATTTTTTAAATAAAGACAACATAAGAAAAATGACTGCAAGATTACGATTGGAAGTTTTGACATGGGGATGGAGTGAATAGGTAAATGGCAGACTTATGAAAACAGAAACAACATTCTCCCTGCTGGTAAAGCTTTATTTTAAAACAACAACAACAAAAAATTTCAATTTTACAGTTACAAAATATAAACACATATTGTAAAAAGACAGGAAATATGAATAATAGTTGGGGTGGGGGGAGACACTGTTGTGTGATATTCTGATGATTAACAGTGTTGCCATGACTCCTGCCCAGTTCATTTATATTCAAAAACAAATCGGAAAAAAAGTCTTCCAATTTTAGAAAATTCTTCTCGAATTGCTCGGTAGCCGTCTATGAGAAGCCCTCTGGCTCCTACGGACCATCCATCACCTTGGCCGTCTGACGTGTCATCCAATGGGGTTCAGCTTTGTTGGGATGTGAATGAGGGATGCACGGTCTAATTGTGTGTGTGTGTGTGTGTGTGTATGTGTGTGTGTGTGTGTGTGTGTGTGTGTGTGTATTCTATCCTCCATGCAGAGTGGAAATAAACACAACGTTGTCTCGCTCTTGCAGGCGGTAGTCCAACTCGCCCTGGAGGCCCCACAACACAACACAGGAAACATCCTTGTGTCAATACAAACATACTCTCCATGAATGGGATTTGTGCACACTGAAGCCGATCAGAGGAGTGTGTGTGTGCATGGACGTGTGTATGTGTGTGCGTGTGCATGTGTGTGTGTGTGTACAAGGTCAGGCATCAAATGTGGTCGACCTACAGGGATCACAATGAAAGCCTTCCGCCAATGTACAGATTAGCCTTTGTGCTCATCTTCTAATTGTGACACGCGCATACTGTGAGGAGCCATGCAATACACAAAACGGAGGCTATTTACCCCCACCCCCACCCCTACCCCTCCAATAACGGGCATATTAAATATGTATTATGAAGATTTGGTGGTTAAATGTTTTGAGATTTTTTTTCCCCAAATAAAAGTTCCTTTGAAGTTGTATTTGGTTTTTGCCTCATATGGAGGGTCACGACAAGTGCTCTGGCGGGGCCACACATGGCCCGCGGGCCGGACATTTGTTGCCTCGGCCCTGGAGAACAACCAGACGTGAGGAAAGGCTACAAATATGGCAGTGCTCACCATTAGCTCCCAGTCAGCATCATTGATCAGCACCAAGATCCCAGGTCTCCTATAAAAGGATGATGGCCATCCGTGGTGGTGGGGGAAAGGGAGTAATAAAACAGACAGGTAAAGCGGGGGGATCATAATATACATAAATGTGTGCAAAAGTCACACAGTACTGTACTGTAAAAATGCACAGTCGAAAATGAAATACAGTATGGACATTAAAAAAAAAAATGCTGCACATGCATAAAAAAAGCGTAAAAATCAAAATCTTTTCATTTTAAAATCTGATAGTTGTTCACATTATTTTACATATATTGAATATGTGTTTTAATGCTATTGCAGATTTTTTCCCCACCAATTTATTTTATTAAACACATTGGGGTGGTGCATGTAAAACACTCCACAAAAAAAAAAACAATTTTAAAATTGGATTCATGACTCTTTGTTTGAGGAATGTTTCATAATTATTTTAAGGCTATTTGAGCATTTTTTATGATATTTTACTGAGGCACGTGCATGCAGATAAATGTGAGCATTTCGTGTAACAATTTTCTACATTCTGAAAACAGGTGATGAAAAATATGAGCGTGCAAAAAAAATAAAAGAAAATGTTGGGGGAAAAAAAAAATCATGATTTTTTAAAAAAAATAATATCATGGCTGGATGGATGTTACTTTATTTTGTGAATAATTACTGATTATTTTAATGCTTTTGTCTGCCTTTTGGGGGAGTGTGGATGAAAATATATCCATAAAACGTGACAATATTAGAAAAATATACGAGAAAGACAACTCCCCTCCATCCCCCAACTCAACTTAGGGAACCCCCCCCCCACCCCCCACGGAGCTCCTTTTCCTTGCATGTGTGTGGTCTGCTTTTTGTGGTGTGTAACACAAGAAACACGGGCTACAGAGCTGAAGCAGGAAACACAAATGAGCGCAGTGGAACCTCCAAAGTTGAACACGATCTGTTCAGTGACGCTCGTCTATTTCCGGTTGTTCTCATTTCCAAATTAGTTTTCCCATTGAAAATCACGCAAACTTCCTTTTAGCGCTGTCATCATTGCAAAGGTTTTTTTAGTCATCAATGTGTTAAGTACCAACAAAACTGATGAAGACATGATGTCAACATTAATAATCTATAAAGGCATGCGTACAGTCTTTACATGCGCAGGTATATTACAGTGAAATTAGTACTGTAGAATAATACGGTGTGTGCATGTGTGTATATATCTATATACATGTATATATAAAATTTAAAACACGAATATTACGTACATCTTTTTTCCGATAGTGTGAATTTTCTGCCTCCGAGTTCCCTGTCATTCTTGGTTTTTCCCCATCCTTCTTCTTCGATGAAATTTAATGGAGGCGGGTAAATACGGAGATTATGAAGAAAATCAAAATGTCAGTCGAAATTAATGGAGAGCCAGGAGCGCCATGAACCTCCTGATGAGGCTTTTAAACAAGTGTAGGAGAGGAGGGGGAGGTGAGCGGTCATGATGGACACATGACACATGTGCTCCATTTGTGTGTGTGTGTGTGTGTGTGTGTGTGTGTGTGTATATGTCATGTGTGTCAATTGGCTATTAAAATACAGAAGAACAACAAAGAGTGTAAAAAGGATCACAAGATTGTCGTCGCAGTTGTAAAAATGCCCCGACGAATGGAGACAATACACACGCGTAGGTCTAATGAAGCAGGTTTATAGGTGGGCGGCTCAATTCCGTGGTCAGGTGATGCTATAAATAGCGGTCCGCAAAGGCAGGCCGTAAAAGTCAGCCAGCAATCTCGAATAATGGAATTTTTTTTCTTACCAGCTTCCGAGGAACAGTATAGCGACAATAAGGGAGGAGGACACTCACACGGAGTCGCCCTGGACAAAGAGCTCGGGCCGCTCCTTGAGCAGGTTGTGTCGGATCCACATAAGCAGCTGCGGAATGTCCCCTGCAAAAAAAAAAAAAAAAAAAAAAAAGGCAGACAACGGAGGTCAGGGGTGAGAGGTCAAGGTGCGTGCTTTCCAAGCCCCCTGGTCGATGTGACGCGACAGGACAGAGGCACCAGGCGGGACGTGGCTGCATGTATATGTATGAGTTCATGTGTTGGCGTTGAGGAGCTGGGGGGGGGGGGGGGGGGGGGGGGGGGGTTAATGTCAATGGCCAAGGGCGACATTGATCACCTTGCTCGGACGAGAATAGAATAGATGAGGCTTTAGTCATCCCACAATGGGGAGATTTCTGTTTGAGAGCAACTAAGTGGACAGCGGCAGCACGTAGGAATAATCGAGAATTACACCGGCAATAATATCAATGTACATATTTACAACATCGGTGCGACCAAGAAAAAGAGCAGCTGTGTATGTGGCCAGTGTACTTGATGAAGCAATACGACTGAATGCGAACAGCAGAGAGGAGAGTCAGCAGCATTGGACGTAGCAAAAGAAAGAAAAAAAAAAAAGAAAAGGAACGGCACTGGATAGTTCGTGGTTGAGAATGAAATAAACACAGGCAACAGTAAATTTCGCCGTAGCTACACAACGATACATAAATACATACATCCATATAATACATTGAGCAACACTAACTATCAGTAGTTAATGGACGACTATTCATGAATAAATCAAAATTCTACTGTATTCACAACATGAACAGCAGCAACAATAGTCAGTCATGTTCTATGTCCCAAAAAAAAAAAACGATATAGGTATCAGGAAATAGTACTGTACAGTATGCCACGGACGGAAAACATTTATTTTTTAAACAAATGCCCCAAATTATTTTAAAAAGGACTAATGAAATTAAAATTGCATTTTTTTTGCCATACACCTGGTTCTAGGTGACCACCCCCCCAATTGCACCGAAGAGTTGTGCCCCCCCCGCTACCATTTTAGTTGCTCATCCCTGCTCTATGCAAGACGTGAATGGCAACTGTAAACGAGAACATTGCCATTTAAATAGTCTTATACCCTGTAGAAGCGGGCGAGAACAAATAAACCCCAGCGCTTCTCAATACAATGCTGAAAGCAGTTGTACGCATGAATCTGCAGCCATGTACACATCATATCTGCGTACGGATGCTTATGTAAGCTTGATTGTTTCCCTCGCTGCAAAGTCAAAGGCGTCCGAGCTTGACCGTTGCCGTGCCTGGCACTAAATGAGCGTGACCTCGTCTGCGGCGACGCTGACCCCGTCGACAAAAGGGCTAAGCCGCGCTCAGACCGGGCGACAATGAGCACTTTTAGGATAAATACAACACCCCCGCATCCACCCACTCCCCGCTAAACACGATCGCACAATGAATATATTAGCTTGATGTTAAATGTGTGTATGTGTTTTCTTTTTCAAAATAACCACAATCGAGTGTAAGTGCATGATCTGTAAAGTTACATCCAACAACACCGAAATGAAATTTTTCCAATACTGTATATGGGCATTATGTCTTTTGTATATATATATATATATATGCTAGCACTGTTATATATATATATATATATATATATATAAAAAATTTGTTTAGAATTGCATGAGGGGCCGGATCGAGTGTTCTCGCAGGCTGAATGTGGCCCATGGGCCATAGGTTGCCCACCACTCCGATCTTAGACCCTGTCACAAGCTCACAGGAAAACTAGCAGAGAGGACGAAATAAAAGAAGGGAGAGAGGGAGCGGAAAAGTGGGGATGTATGAGGTGAAGCGAGGTCGGATGAAGCTGTGACGCAGCAGCAATGAAAGGCAAAAATCACAGCTCCATAAAACGATTCCAAATGATTAACAATGACGGGGAAATCCTTCTTTAAAACCGACAAAATGTTGCAATTTATTCCTCCCTTTCTCATGACAGTTAACCATCAATAAAATGTTCCTTTTGAGGGGGGGGGTGGGGGGGGGGGGGTGATACCATTAAAATTTGCACAAGTGTAAAAACAGGACCAAAAACAAACAAAATAAAATGTCGGCAGCGGTCAGGCAAAAATGGAGCGAATGTGATTTGCAGCGCTACCTGCCAAGTTCAAATTGCATGCGTGCATGCGTGCGTGTGTGCTCACGAGCTTATTTTAACGTGTGAAAACACACTCACATCGTGATACTTCTGCCGTATAGCGCTGCAGTGAAAATGAACATTACTCACATAGGTTCATTCTACATGTGTAGAACGTCTCACACACACACACACACACACACACACACACACACACACATACTTACTGTAGATCCACCGAACCGACTGTATGTCCACCTCCACTGCAAGGACATTTTCTGCAGGCCCGATTCCGCGTTTTGACTGACACAATCAGCGAGCCACTCAATTTACAATATCTTTGCAACTACTGTATATCGATGCACCTCAACATAGTCAAAATATCCAAGAAAGCCTCAAGCACCATATGATGCGCTACAATGCTATCAAACATGTTTTGAAAATAACCAGTCTCTGGAACAAAAACAAACAAAAAAAATTGAACATCAGTCTTTTTTTTTTGTTTTGTTTTGTTTTTGTTTTTTTAAAGGTGGAATTTTTGATACAGCCGACTGGATTGAAGGTGTCCCTAATGCGACACGCACACACACATACACACACACCTGCAGGGCTAAAAACAGAAGTAATCAGCAGAAAAGTCATAACTCCTTTGCAGTGCTGACCACCTTTCTCCTTTTTTCGTCGCTTTCTCCGCTATCGACTGTATGTGCTTTTCTCCATCATTACCCCTTGCCCCCATTCTGCTTTTGCTTTTCATTTACCCCCCGCCCCCACCTTCTCCCCAATAAAACCTGTTCTCCTCCTCCCGCAAACAGGAAGACGCGGCCATCATTCAAACTGTGGCCGAAAATAGAAACAGTCCATCGGGGGGGTACGTGGGGGCGGGGGGGAGGCTTTTAATGGCGTCATGCTAAAGGCTGCTAGTTCAGATTGAACAAGAAAAAGGACCTGGATGTAGAGTGAACGTATGTGGTGCGGCTACGAGTAAAGGTGAGCACAGGGGGAAGAACAAGGACGTCGTCATCGTCGCCGGGAATGAACGCCGATGAAACAAAATGGAACAGGAGCGACGGCGAGAAAAGGGTGGAACGTGCGTCACGTCCTCGCGGTGCACCTTGGGTTTTCGCCGCTGCGTGGCTGCCGGGAAGGGGATGTGACCGACTGAGGGGAGGGAAAAGGCGCCATTTTGACAGTGATTCAAAACCGCCAATTCAGTTTTTTTTTGTTCTTTTGTGGGTGCCCATTTGCTGCCCTTTTTTTTTGGGGGGGGGGGTTTCTGAGAAACGGCGAGACCCCCAGACCGTTGGGGGTTTTCGCTACCGTGTGTGTGTGTGTGTGTGTGTGTGTGTGTGTGTGTGTGTGTGTGTGTGTGAGAGACTCGAGAGAGGAGAGTGGGGGCGGGATCTTTCAGTCGAGGGTCATCAATCACCGGCTGGGGTCACAGAGAAATAAGAAGGATTCAGAAGCAATTATATAGGCCCTAACAACCCTCCGCCCCCTCAAACCCCAACACATCCACCCTCACAAACATACACCAGATAATTATTAAAATTAGGCTGGAGCCGTATGGTTATTGAGCGTAAACGATGCATATGTGGTGGAAACGGGAGGTGAAAAAGAGCACCTGCACAATAAGATAACACAAGCGCTGCATCAAATCTGTCTTTCCAAAGATAATACTCCTCTGTTTTGATTGGTGGTGTCACAGAGGTGTTCATGAAGAATGCGTTTATTATAAAGTGAATTTATTTCAGCAGTTGGGTTAAAAAGTGAAATTCATACACGGATTCATTCAACACATGACAATAATGCCTTTGCAATTTCTATCAAAAGTCCTTTTGATTGTTTCTTACGCAATATTCAAATTTCTTGAGAAGGTGTTTTGCAAGGGTGTTTTTGAACTGAACCGCCGCGAGCATGTTAACATTTATAGATGTGAGTCGGATATTCCACACGAAAGCATAAGTACACATGGGTGGTGTGCTGTGGTGCAGTCAGGTCATATCTCCTTTAACATTCCCTTCTCTGGTCAACTTTTGTGTCGTCGTCACCGCGGTAACTCGGGCGTCACGGCCGGTCGTCTTTTGTTTGGTCCAAAACCAATACGACACTTATTTCTCCCTCATTCATTTCAACCTCTGAGGAAACTACTTTTTAACCCTGCTTGCTAATGAGCAAGGTCCTGACTTTAGTGTGAGGGAATTCCCGCTGGCAAATGATTTTTTTTTTCTTCTCTTTTGTTTTCCTCAAGATCTGAGCGGCTACAAATGAAAAATATAATAAAATAAGAGGACTAGGAGGATGAACCCTAATTGCACTCTTGTAAAGGCCCAGAAGCCCTTTGAGCCTCCTTTACTGCCTCTTTTACTGCCTCCGTTCACACTCGGGCACCACTCGTGTCGGACAATAGGAGGAAGAACCTGAGAGCCACGTAAGGGGAAGACAGATATGGGAAATATACCCGTGATGCTTTCTAGTTGATATATGTTTTCGATGAGTAACACACTGACATAAAAACCGAGAGGGCATGTGAGCAAGTAATCACTGAATCAAATCAAATCCAATCATTGCTGAAAATGTACCGTTCTTGAATCGTATTGCACCCCATGTACCGAGATGTGTATTGAATAACCTTTACTTGGAGAGATGCACAGGGCTACCTGAAAGGATTATTGACATTTAACAACAACCCAGTACAATGACGATTAAGATGACTCTAATCGTGTACGGTGGGTTGTGTATAATCCGCAAGTAATTGACAACCCTCTAAAAAGGTTTATAACTGCCTATCAATGCAACAAGATGGTGGCAAAGCACTACTTTGGCATTAAATAAGCCTATGGCCTGAGTCAATAATGCACCTTCCTTCCTTGACACCTTTGGTCAGAGCACATAAACAGAGAATAGGTAAAAAAAAAAAATCCAATTAAAAAATGTGTTTAATGCAATTGCAATAACAATCCTGACTTGTCTCACAAAGACAACAAATCTGTTCAATGTGTCATGAGATACTCACAAGGTTCTGCATTGGTTGGAAGAGTGACATGATGATCCTTCACACCATCAAAAAGAAGCTCTGCTCCTCCACTGAAAACAGAAAAGAAAGAATCATTTCATGACAGCATGTTCGAAATCCCAACAGAGTATATTTACACGCATCTAAAAAATTCTACCAAGCATACCTCCTATTTCTAACACAGCGCTGACAGACGCAGCACAAAGCTAAAAACACAGCTAACTTAAGGCTAGCTGCTCCACTGGATTACGCTTTCTTAAACTACACGGCACAGTAAAGACTGAACGTAAAAACACTCGACCAATCACGTGGTGTCGTATCGTCCCACTGAATGAATGCTGGAAAACGTTTGACGACCCAGCGAGCAGTCGCGAGGGGTTTAAATCACCTACCCAAACTCCAAATGAATAGCCATGGGTGCAGCCATCTTGTCGGCACATGCAGGAAGTGGTGTATGGGGTAGCAGGAAGTGACGTAATGAACAGTTTCCGCTTGACCAAAAGGTTTGGAAAGTGATTATTTTAAAATTGAAAAGAAAAAGATGGGTCTGTCAGATGTCTGTCTATCTATCTATCTCTATCTCTATCTCTCTCTCTCTCTCTCTCTCTCTCTCTCTCTCTCTCTATATATATATCTATTCGTTTATTAGTTTATTCATTGTAAACACACGTTTGTAAACACAACCTCACAGTTCTCATATTAACTTCAAACTTGTTCTACTATTATTGTTAGTCAAAAGAGTATTTATTATGATTTGTTTATATTAATTATGGGATGAAATTACTAATCATTTTTGTGATATAATATATTTCCAAACAAAATGTCACATACTGTAATATACAAAACGTATCCTAATTTGACCTTTGTTATCTGTTATTTTGGATCGAAAAGTAGTTGCCGAACAGTGTCAAAACCTTTTCAGAAGCAAAGTATGACATGGCTGTGTGAATCTACATCTGTCTCTCCCTCTTTATATAGATGCTCAGTCATACTGGTGACAGTTCTGATCCCACTATATAGGATACTGGGGTACAAAGTGGGTGTGGGCGTGCGTGTGCTATGGGGTCGGTCAGAGGTTTGAATTGCAAATCGTCCTGCCTTCTGTTGGCGTCCAAGCCTTCGCAGGCTCTTTCCTCCCCTGTATTCATGTGTTAATGAGAAGTCAGCGCAGGGCCACATAGACAGATCGACCAGGGGCCTGGCAGGGGCCAGAGGGGGGCCAAGGGGGCGGACATGTGTGGGAAATTGAGAGGAGCCCGATGATGGCGTGGTGGTTTTGGTATTAATGAAGACATGATAAGTATCTATGCTGGTGAATTTTGTGTTATATTCATATCGACTTCACGGTTACGGGTTGAATTATCCAGGAAGGATGACCCCCTGCGTCCCACCACAACTGCCATGGGTGCCACCTCGTGTTTGCTAAGCTGCCGTGAAGTTTAGGAATAGTGGACACAAATGACTAACTTTAGTCAATTAACTTTGGATCATGTTCCCAAAAACAACAGTTGGGGTGGGGAGTGGCAATTAACTTTGGATCATGTTCCCAAAAACAACAGTGGGGGTGGGGGGTCCGGGTATGAGATTAGGGGATGGCGGTTGGCTGTCTGACTGCCTTGCTGGATGGCTGGCAGACGGGTCTGTAAGATCATGTGTCTGTTTCAATAAGGAACATAAAGAGCTGAAATGAACACGTTCCAAGATATCAAGCAGAGAGAATCCTCTTAGTGATGACATCCATAACATGTTACGCCTATGGAACTGTATGGGCGGCGGAGACAAAGAGCGGAGCCGATGATGATTTTCCTATTGTGGCAGATGGCGCGGCGGCGGGCCGTTTCATTCCATTGTGCTGGCTTCTGTGGTTTCTTTTTCGGTGCTACATCGCAGATGCCATCAGTTAGTCTGATTAGATGTCTGTAAGGCAATTGTAAGACGACGAGTCTCGCTTTTATCAAAGGTTCTAAAGAGACGAGAGTGTCAGATTTGAATGGATCGATCAAACTTTGCCTTTAAATCTCCCTTGATGAGGAACCGTTGAAAGCTATGAAATTGAGGAGTTACATGGTTGCTTAATACAGCGGTCCCCAACTTTTCTGGCGCAATATTTTGATGAACCTGCATAAAAACAATAAACAGTTGTTCTACAAATGCAGTTGTTCAACAATAAACAATGGTTAGTCCCAAACGTGTCTCTCCAATGAGCCCGGCACATCACAGGGTTTTCTTTCCTTGTTTGCATGGGTTTTCCCCAGGTACCCTGGCTTCCTCCCACGTGACCCCAAATAGGACAAACTTTCTGGAAAACGAATACCGTCGATGTTGAAAGGTATCCTTGATTCTCAATTGACTCCAAATTCAAGGCATGTCTGTGTGACACAAGCAATCGTTTTATTTGAAAAAGAGTGAATCGCTATATACAATATGTAGAAAAAAAACAAAGCAAACAACAAAAACCTGTCCTTTCCCCTTTCACCGTTCAGTATCCAAAGCAAGAATCAATAAAAACACACATAAAATCTTTCTTCCATCATCAGTGTGAGCGGATGACAACACACGCAATAGGCTGCCCCCCCCCGCCCCCCCCCCACTCAAGTGTTTCAGACCACAAAAGACAAACACTCATGTAAAGATCAGAGTAGACTGAGAATTAATTCACCTTGCTCGATACCTGACACGTACATTTGAGTATATTATAGAATGCTTGGATTTGGAGGTAGACAACAAGGAGATGGGGGGGGGGGGCAAAACACCTCAAAATATTTTTGAAATGAGTTTCGTCCTTTGGCTGAAGTGATTGCATAGCTCTGAGAGTCAGCTGCAACTCTCTCAGGCTCACGTGCTTGAAAGAGGACATCGAACATAAGCAGTCAACCAAACGCCATTTGGTACCACAAGTAAGATCTTATATGTCCTTTATTACTGTTTTGAACAACTCTCAAAGCCTTCACTTTTTACTCCTTCATTTGAGATGCATCTATGAACGAGTGGCCGATACATATTTGATGGGACTGAGCTTTAACGGCTCCTTCCCGCTTCCCGAGGTATGAGTAGCCGAATGCCCTGAATGGATCGAGCTCCTCTAAAAAAAATTAAGAAATAAAGGAATGTTCACATGAATTACACACGCACGCACACACAGAAAGACATGTTCATTATGATCTAATTCAAATATCACCACTCATTTCTATGACAGTGTGAGACAGCAGGGAAGCATCTGTGTGTGCGGAGCAAAGCCAAACTCTGCAGATTGACTGTCAGGGGACCACCATACTTATTTGTCTCCTCTTGTGGACATTTTCGGGAGAAATGAGGACGTCCGCAGTGCTACAGTTTGCAGTGTGGGGTGTTGAAAGTGACATCCCGCCGTACGTTTAGCTGCCTCGCCACTCGCGGCAGTCGACCCGCATTCCTCAGTGTCCCCCCTTTTACGCCATGCAAAGACAAGACCACTTCGGAGTGGTAAGTGCAGAATGCAAGGTGTCTTTGTTTGAGAAAATCACCGCTATAGCTCGCTGTGCCGCACCGGAGGCTCCAGCTTGTGCGAGAGGGCGGTGAGGACCTTGTCGAACTTCTCGTAGCGCTCCAGCTGGCTGCCCTCGGAACCGCGGCAGCCCCACAGCAGACGCATCTGGAACTCCGTCTGGAAGATCTCAAGGATGTCGGCCTGTACCTGGAACCCTGCGCCGGAGGGCAAAGGAGAGGAAGAGAAGTTAAGATGGAATCACGTTGCACGTCCAAGCTCAAGATGACAGTGTGTTACTATATGAACATTAATTCTGAATGACTCCCGATGACCTCTGTGGCACAGTGCATGCTGTTAAATTGCACCTTTTTTTTCATAATATTGATTGTTTCCGGAAATGTAACATGATAGTGCCAATAAAATGATGGGCTGACTGTCTGGTAAACACAAAATGTAAAATTTTTGGAAGATGAATGCAACAAGCACAATGTAATGAGACGAAATGCAAGAGCTACACTACTTATTCTCAATCTACTTAGTCACCCTGATTAACCAGGGTTAACAGGTTTAATGGCTTGGTGATCAATACAGTGAGCGATCAATTTCTCATCGTGGCAATAAATACACGCTGCGACCGCCGAGATCGGCACCACCGGCTGCGAGCCCAAACGCAGTTCAATGCAGCTGTCTGCATGTGTCCATACCCTGCAATTTGCTCTCGACGTTGCTCCTGTAGATCGCCCCGTGATGCGCGACGATCCGGGCTGCCTCCAGGTGGTGCATGACCACGTCGACGCCCACTTCTGCACTCTCCCATGGCTCCAGTACCTCCCCGAGAGCCAAGCCTCGCTCCAGCAATGTGTGAGAACCCCCAATGCCCCCACTAGATCCAGAAGGTGGCACCGTGGTTTAAAAAAAAAAAAGTTGTTAAAGTTCATTCATTTGGGCAGATTTGCTGTGATACGTCTGGGATTTCTGTTTTCGTGTCTAATATATGCAAAACACATTCTCTCGTTCAGTGAGTCTCAATTTGTGGTGTGTGTGTGTGTGCGTGTGTGTGTGTGTGTGTCGCCCTCTAGTGGTACGTGAAGAATCAACGAATGAAATGTTCAACCTTGGCATGTTCCAGTGGCTTAATTTTTAAGTCGAGTTCAGTTGTCTTTCACTTTTAAGTACATTTGCAGTTATTTTTTTGAAGAACTGTTTGTGCAATGCATTTTTCATTGAATTATTATTTATATAGTAGTCCTACTGGTCTGAATATTTTCAAGATGACATGCAATCGGAATACCTTTGCCGTCATTCAAATTCTTCAGGAAAGGTTTGAGCTTCTTCTCATACAGGATGGCGCCTTCTGTATGTCTCTGCCGTAACGTCACCCACGTCTGCTCCAACCGGGAAATCTGAGACGTAATCCCACAAGCGTCAGAGCAAAGCACAAGAATGCGCAATGAAAACGCGCAGGATGGCAACTGTGTTGATCTCACCTGCGGCAGCTCCAACGCCCTCATCACTGCGGCGAAGCCAAACATGTTACCCAGGTTGCTCTTCAGCTCGGCCGCCAACTGGATGGTCTTATGGAGCAGGGCCGCCCGCTCCTCCGTGCTTCCCGTGCAGCCCAGCAGGTCCACGGCCGTCATGATGGACATGGTGTAGAACCTGAAATTTCCAACATAGGGGGTGAAAAAAAGGACCACAGCGTGAATGAGACGACACACTTTAATTTTGTTTTGGTGCTCCTTTTTCGGTTGGCAACAGGGTTCAAATGTGCTCAGCAGCAAACTTGTCGATTTCCATGTGCACGATGTGAGGTAAGTACAGCAACTGGTACACCAACCGCCCCCTTTTTTAAAATGTATTTACTTATTTTAGATTTTCGTGAATGCTTGACTCTCCCATCAGTCATTCCGAACGAACCAAGGGCGGGTGCCCTGAAGAAGAAGACAGCGAGCGCACCTCTCCAGCAGGTCAAGTCTCAGCTGGTGTCCGTGAGGTAGCGTTAGTAACTCCAAGCCAGAGGATACTCCCATCATCCTTTGCATCTCCGAGTTGACTCCCAGTATTCTTGCAATCTGCCCAAGAGAGAGAGAAAACAAAATAAGATAAGCGTTGCATGTCGTGCATGTGCTTGAAATTCTCTCCAACGCTTGTTCTCAGCCGTGTGAACGGGATTCGCGCACGATGCGCTCGTTGGCGTGCGTTGGCGTACCGTGCAGTCGACTAAGGTGATGTGCTTTGCCGCCGTCCTTGCATCCACTTCAGCCAGCAGCTCTTTCACTCTCTTCAGCACAGCCATCTCCAGAGGTTTGTTGTCAGCCGGCATGATGCAAGACTCATACCTGCGCGGGAAACATTTGCTCAATACAAACAAGTGAACAACGATCAACCAGTACTGCACCGTGACGGTCAGCGCACTGTGGAAGAATGATTCCAACAGTGACCCACCCAGAGACGCAATGGATTTGTTTTTTTTTTTTCCTATCACATGAAAAAAAATAATTTCAAACTTTTATATACGTTAATAATTAAACACAAAGGTACGTGTATATATAGCGTGTGCATTTGCATGAAAATTGAACACCTTTTTGCTCTGTACAGTATTATTTGGTTATTTAGAAAAAAATTTAAATCACCTATAAAGCAGCATTACATTCAGTTTTTGTTCAGAATGAGTGTGAATTCTTTTTTTTTTTTTTTTTTTTTAAAAGCCTTCAAACAAATTTGTCTCATACCTGGATGGCCGGAACAAGGAAGCGGTCTCCACCCGAGGAGCGCTGCACATGCCGTCTCCTTCCTCCCTCACACCCTCGTTCCACTCTTCCTCCACCCGCAAACGCTCCACGTAGGTCTTAGTAGGAGGTTTGGGGGGTCCGGCAGGGCAAGGTCTGAGGTCGCAGTAGCTGCCCGCTGTTTCGGAGGAGTGCGACTGGAAAGCGGGATGATGAGCGGGAGAGGAATGAGCCGAGTGAGAGATGTTGGCGGGATGTTCCGGGGGGTTGTTGCTAGAAGACGGGCTGAGCTGAGGGTCGCTGGAACGCCGCGCGATGGGGGAAGGGGGCACCACCGCCAGGACTCGCCCACCTGAGTGGGCTCTCTGTCTGGTGACTGGAGAAGAGAGATGACCCTTGAGCTGAAATGCCAACATTTTTTGGTACGCGCGGATAACAGAAATGACGGCTGCATCCGCGTGGGCTTACTCGCACAGTACGCAGGGGACATGGGCGTCTCCCCGACAGGCGACAAGGGGCAAACAAGTGAACAACGATCAACCAGTACTGCACCGCGACGGTCAGCGCACTGTGGAAGACTGATTCCAACAGTGTCCCACCCAGAGACGCAATGGATTTGTTTTTTTCTTATCGCGTGAAAAAAATAAAAATTTCAAACTTTTATATACATTAATAATTAAACACAAAGGTACGTATATATAGCATGTGCATTTGCATGAAAATTGAACACCTTTTTGCTGTGTACTGTACAGTATTATTTGGTTATTTTGAAAAAAAATTACATCACCTATAAAGCAGCATTACATTCAGTTTTTGTTCAGAATGAGTGTGAATTATTTTTTTTTTTTAAAAAGCCTTCAAACAAATTTGTCTCATACCTGGATGGCCGGAACAAGGAAGCGGTCTCCACCCGAGGAGCGCTGCACATGCCGTCTCCTTCCTCCCTCACACCCTCGTTCCACTCTTCCTCCACCCGCAAACGCTCCACGTAGGTCTTAGTAGGAGGTTTGGGGGGTCCGGCAGGGCAAGGTCTGAGGTCGCAGTAGCTGCCCGCTGTTTCGGAGGAGTGCGACTGGAAAGCGGGATGATGAGCGGGAGAGGAATGAGCCGAGTGAGAGATGTTGGCGGGATGTTCCGGGGGGTTGTTGCTGGAAGACGGGCTGAGCTGAGGGTCGCTGGAACGCCGCGCGATGGGGGAAGGGGGCACCACCGCCAGGACTCGCCCACCTGAGTGGGCTCTCTGTCTGGTGACTGGAGAAGAGAGATGACCCTTGAGCTGAAATGCCAACATTTTTCGGTACTCGCGGATGACAGAAATGACGGCTGCATCCGCGTGGGCTTACTGGCACAGTACGCAGGGGACATTGGCGTCTCCCCGACAGGTGACAAGGGACAGCGGTACTCTTGAATCTGGTCCATGCTCATCGCACAGTTCCGCATTGCGTCTTTGTGGTGGTGGATGGTGGAAGGGCTGCAAACACAATAGTCAATTGTTAAAAATCCCTCATGGATTTTATTTTACATGTCGACATGGCCGAGGCGGGGGGGGTTGTGTCACATGACAGGAAGTGGCGAGGTGATGGGTGCTTTTTGACTTTCTTTTGTCAAAGTTGATCGTTTTCAATTTGAAATTGTACCGAAAGTAAACAATTGTTTTATGCGTTCAAATACGGCACGCACATCACACAGGGTCAAGGCTAACATTCGTAGTGAATAATTCATGATTCTAAATATCAAAATTCAGATATTTGCAGCAGGTGAAGGTGCATAATGTGGTGCTGATCCAACGTATGATCGTTTTGCCTGTCATTACTGATGACTGCTATTTGTGGCGCTTTAAAAAGGCAGCAATAAAACGGTCCATCTGAATTTTACACACTTCTGGGGAGGGGGGTGCTGATGAGGTGGTGGCGGGGGGGCGGGGCGGCTGCAGGGATGTGGCAGGTGTACTAGCTCTACACACTTGTGTCTCACACACACATGTAATACACACACCACCTGCATTTGGGCACAGGTTGCGGCTGAGGTTCCGGTGGTGCCGCTGGTGTCTCAACTGGACTTGGGCTGTCTGAGTCGCTGATTGCGCGTGCAACAAGAAGCAATAAATGGACATCACGTATAAGAATGTAACAATGGCTAAAATGAGGAGACGTGAAATGGGAGTTGAGACTACAGGCACGGAAACGGTTGGGGTCAGAATACAGTACAGGGGATCGGTTTACGAAGGAGATCTTTACAATATAACAACTTCCCTTTTTTAATTAAACTACTGAAATAAATGACGCTTTCCACGATATTCGAATTGATTGAGGTGCACCTGTATTTTGAAGAGCACTCCAGGGAACTCACCTATGAGGCATCATCTTCTCCGTCGTGAGCCCATCCATCATGGTAACGCTCCGTCTCTTGATGTACGCTCCCCTCTGATTGGACGGCGAGTAGGCGCAACCGTGCTTGCCGCCGGATAGGGCGAAGGTGGCCTCCAGGTAGCGCAGCGGGAGGGTCCGGCTCACCGGACAGTAGATGTGGACGCCGCTGGTCTGCGAGATGGCTTTGCGTTGACTTGCGTAGAAGCGCACCAGCTCCGGGACCGAGTCAAAGCTTTCCGACTCCAGCACGTACTGCACCTGGACCATACAACGGAAACATGATGTGGAACCTGATGGAAACCGTCGCTGATCCCATGGCCAATTTCTGTCTCACTTTTATAGTATGGACCACGTCTCGTTGATCATGACAAGTTGACGGCTGCGCTTACCTTGGTGTCATTGGATTTGACCAGGACTTTGCTGATCTTGAAATGCAGCGCTTCATTATCCCACCGACAAGTCAGCACGTAGTCACTCACGTTGATCAGGGAATCACGCACCAGGAAGTCTCCGTGATGCTGCACAAGAGTCTCCGACACCTACACACATGCACAGAAGTCACACAGATGCTAAAAGAAATATTTTGATCCTATTATATGATACAAGTTAATGCTGGAATTTGTTTTTTTCTTTGAGGAAAGATGTGAAAACGATCAATAGCAAAAATCAGATTTTTATGAAGGAAAAAAAAAGATGAGTTATTATTTATTTTACAACCATATCTGCGAGTCCTAAGAGGACAATAATGCCGGTCATAAGAGCAGGGATGACATCAGCGCAATCTTGTTGGACAAATTACTTGAACCACTGTCATGACATCATTGCATTTTTAACCCTGATGTCACCTACAGTATATTGAATGCAAAAAGGAACTTCATTCCTTTCTCTGGACAGCAGTCATTAATCTGAATCATCTCTCCATAAATAAACTGAATGAAAATATAAGTAGAAAATAAACCGCAAAGCTTAAAGACCAAGAGATACACGTTCCTACATCATTTGTCAAAAACGTCATGCTTTTAAATCTTTTTTTTTTAAACAGTTGAATAACAGGAATCCATCGGGATTAATTACAACAACGCCTTAGGGCATTTTGGTGTTGCACAACAATGACAATGAGCTGCCAAAATGCATCTGCTGTGCTGTTCATGCTGCCGGAGAGAAATAAGATGCCAACAGAGACTGCTGACTGAGAAAAGCTTTTGTTTTTTCAGTAGAAATCTATTGTGTTCAGCATTATTGCGTATTAAAAAAAAAGTAAAGTCCAAAAATGGTTTTGAATATCACTGAAAAGAAGCAATCCATAAAATTCATCTTTCTGTCATGGTGGGTAAAGCAACCTAAGACCCAAGAGAAAACAAAAACAACAGCGTGCATGATTTAAAAAAAAAATTAAAAACAATTTAAGAGGAGAAATAAAGAAAATAATGATATAAAAAAGCAGAATCAGATCATGCAGTAGTAATATAAAGTTCACCGATGAACGCACTGATAGAACATCGCCAGCAGGGGGCGGTAAAAACATAGATCATTCCTTTTTTTTTTTTTTAACAGTGCTCCACAGTGCTGCACTACACCACTGCTTTAAATATACATATACCCTATTAAGGTAGATGTATAGAGAATATTTTATGTTGACAGCTAAATGGACCACACAGCGGTCTAATGGTTAGCATGACTGCCTGATAACGCTGAGGTCCCCGCCTTCGAACCACGACTCAGACCCTTCTGGAGTGGAGTTTGTCTCCTCTCACCGTGCTGATGCGGGTTTTCTCCAGGAACGCTAGCTTCCTCCCACACTCAAAAAGCGTTTTCAGCTCATTAAAAGCTGTCACGTAATCAGCGGTGGGCAATTTATGATCAAGGGCCACATTTGATTTTTAAAACAGACACGGATTAGGCAGTTCATTTGTCAATGAGGCAAACATTTGCTCCATTGTTTATTTAAAACATGTCAAATAGTTTGACAATAAATAATAAAAAAAGAATAATGCATTCATGTAATGTAAGTGGCATACCAGAAAGCCTCTCTAGAGCAGTGAATGTGCGTGTGCGTTGGTGTGTGTGCAAGTGCGTGTGCAAGTGCAGTTTGTTATGTAGTCGACAGAGTGCTTCGAATTCCCACTAAGTTTACATTGGGACAATCCATGAATAATGCAGAATATGCAAAATGAATCAAAAACCCAGAGAGTGTGCGTCTGGGTAGGAGCCACTAACGGATGCCCCTTCAAAATGCACATTCATCCAAAATCGGCAGCGTACACGCCCTGAAATATTTCCGTGGTGTGGTGGGTGCCTGTGGGGCCATCGCCCTGGTGGACCCGCCCTCCGCACGCCCCTGGCGTGTGTGTGTTTTTCGCCAGCTACGAAATCCAACTCGAATACGCAAGCGATGCGCACAGCTGCCCCGCTTGGCTTCGCGACTCTCTTTGCGAACACTTAAGTCAATCCCGCAGAGCAGAGAGAGCGACGATGGGAGTCGTTAATCGTTGCCATCCGGTGTTTGCGCTGCTAAAAAGCCGCTCAAGTGAGCGCTTAAAAAGCACGGCCCTCAACCCACACTTTAATCTTGTTTAATTACCACCGCCAAGGTGGTTTTCAACAGCACGGATTTATTTATTGAGCACAGCTCTCCGTGCACAAAATGGATTATGGTTTTCTTCTTGTGATGTCATCCAAAATAAGCAATGTTTCAAGTTCAAATTTCAAGTTGTGTTTGCTCTGCATACCTCTCGGGGTATGTGTCCATGATACCAGCCATGGCTCCTGATGTCAGCCGGACTCAGCTTCAGCTCCTCCTCCAGCTCCTTCCGCAGCTTCTCGGGGGGAGACTCCAGCAGGTACTTCTCCTTGGAGAACTGAAGGACACAAACAGGAGAGGGGAGGAAAAAAATGGCACGTGAGTGAAGTGGCATCGATGTGACAGGTAAATAGTCCACAGATTGCAGTGGTTCTGAGCGAGGCCATTTGTCGACGATAGAGAATAGTTCAGATGTGCATGGAAAAGAGCCACAAAAATACATTCATAAATAATAATAATATAAGCATTTATGATCATTTTAACTTGCATTAGCCGAGGAAATGACGAAAGATAACAAATGCGCACACTGTAATCCGATTGACCCTGACCTGATTACCAAGGGGAAGAAATCATCCTAAGTAAGCTTTGATTTTTCTGAAGTACTGCGGAGTCCTTCAGTTGCTTTTCAGTAACTCTACACACACACACACACACACACACACACACACACACACACACACACACACACACACACACACACACACACACACACACACACATACACACACAACTGTCAGACAAAGACAAGAGGATCATGTTTCAGATTTCAAAGCTTTCTGCTTGCCGCTCGCTTGCACAAATAAGCGACACTCTGGGGAAATCTGCGGTTGTAAGACATGAAAATAAATTCCGGCAAACATTTTCATGCTTATTTACCTTCAAAGACGATCTCGCCGCGAAAGAAATCACGCTAACGAATTAAGTCGAGCTGCTTTGGAGACATTTTCCGCTTGTTTACTTGAGTTTGGGAATGAAACTATGTGCAGTGAATTCCAATAGTTTGCACGACATCAAACATTGAGCATATCGCGTGCGGAAAAGTGTAGCTGTCTTTTGTTTTTCGACTGTATCTTTCCTTCCTCTGATATCCGCTCTCCATCACCGGAAGGTTTTTGACTGCGCGTGTCCATGAATGGCGCCACGAGGCGACAAGAAGAGGCCCCGTGATCGATGCTCTCTTCCCCAGGTCAGTGCAAAATGAAATTATGAACTTCCTTGTGTCTTCACCACCTTCTCAGCCTCCTTCTCCGCTCCCCCTCGAGTCCTCGGGGGCAGATGGAGGAATATCACTTCAGCGGCTCACTCTTCCCAGATTAGATTTGAGGTGTGCGCGCGCGCACGGAGGCCAGGAACAGAGCGACGGGGTCAAGTGGGCGCTTATTTCTTCCGCTCGTCTCCGTGGAAACCCAGCTGAGGCCTCCAACGGACTTTCAACAATAGACCAGTTGTGTGTGTGCATGTGTGTAAGAGTGGTTATGAGGGTAATTGAAAATTGAGTGAAGTTTGACTTGAGATAGGCTTCGCGGATTTGTCAGGGACAGCGACAAATTGACAATGAAAAAAAAAGAAAAAACAAAAGGGAGAAAATGGCAGGTCTAAAGACACAAGAGACCTCTATTTTCATATCCAATATAACATATGATAGGATATCAAGAGATGCAATATAGTTGATATTGCATTTTGCTTCAACAAAAATAAAGAGAAGTTCTGGGCACTGCGCAGATATATTCAAGCCCAATAGGCTGCTGTTGAATAAACTGAGAGCAAGGATCATTTTCTATCACCCTTGCCTATCCCAGCTGACTTTGAGCAAGAGACCCTGGACTGGTCGCCTGTCAATCATTGGCAGCGTATAGACAAATACACATTCAGACTCACATTCACAGCTATGGACTGGTTTGAGTCAATTTTTTAGAATGTGGGAGGAAGCACAGGAAAAACATCAGCTGAGACTCGAATACAGAAAGTGAGAATTGTGAGGCAGAAGTGCTAACCACTTGCTTTCCAGTAGAGATCATTTAGGGGGAAAGAAAAAAAACGACGATGGATGTCCCAATTCAACTGCAATGCAAAGTTAGTGGAGTGAGGCTAAATGAGCACATCAGTTCATTGACTGTGTGTGGCGCCTTTTTTCAAGGTGAAATTCATTTCCTATTATTTTTTTTATTATTTTTTTTTTTTTACTCAAATTGCTGGGCTGCATTTCATTTTTATTACTGCCGACTCGTTAGTTTGAATGTGACGAGAAAAACATCAATAGTACATCGGCGGTATTGTTACAGTGAATAATTTGTGCTGTATTCCCACGTCAACAAAATAATTGCTGGTTTCCATGGCAACATACTGTGCAATAGTGGTATGCAAGGAGAATCCAATGACAGCTATTGTGAGCGAAGAGTGTCCTCACTTTCTCATTTTCTCTGAGAATGATTTTTGTTGGTTATTAGTTACTAGTGGTTGGGACATCTGCTTCACGGTAGTGTATCTTAAATCATTCTTTACCATTGAAACGAATGCGAATGCCATTAATCCGTTCCAGCCAATCAAACAGTGACGGTCAAACGGAGCGTGGCGACTCTGACACAAAAACCTTCATTCCATATCCATTTTTCCAGTCATGCTAAGTAGTACCACTCTGCTCAATTCCATTGGGGGAAGCATCCAACTGCAAACAAGCCCACCAACAGTCGAGACACACTATGTGAACCTTGAGACAAAACTAAGCCGCGTGCAACAGAAAGTGCAGACAGCATCCAGACTCAGACAGACGGAACCTCATTAAATGGAGGTAGAGAGGCTAACTGGGGGAGAGGATGGCTAGCCTATTAGCAGCTGTGAGAGTTAAGGCAAATTAACAGCTGATGCAAGACTTTGCTTCCCCAGAGGGTCCGATCACAGAGTGTGTGTATGTGTATGTGTGTGTATGAGTGACTATTGATGGACGGATGGATGGGGCTCAATATTTAGTTGAGGCCCCAGACAGGCACTAAGAGCAGGTCATCGAAGATAAGCACTGTTATCACTGAGGCAGGCGTATACAGTACGCACTCGCTGTACTGCAAAGGGGGAGAGGTGAGTGTGGAAAAGATTGCAATGCAATCACAGCTGAAGGCACGGCGAGATGTGCCACTTCATTTACACCTCCACTGTATCAATGCGCACGCGCACGCACACACACACACACACACCCATTGCATACTGTAAGTGCGAATGTAGACGTCAGCTTGGACAGGCTCTTGCTCACTTGTGAGCCTAATGAGGACAAGCACTATAGAAAACGAGATGGATGGCCGAATGGAATAATAAATACTGTATGCAAAATAGTATAAATCAAACGAAATGACGCTTTAAAAAGAATTTGTATGCAGAGGCAAAAAAGATTTGAAACAAATAAATGTACCTGTAATCTGCTCACATTTTTTTTTATGGAACTGGAACGGATTACAGTTACCAGTAAATGTTTTTTTAAAAATATCCTTAACACCAGTGCATGTATTTCTACAAAAAGATAAAACACCCAATGAAAGAAAAAAAATGGCACTAAGAAGAACAGAAAATACAGTTGGAGCCGAATCTCTTGGCGATCTGTACAGTCTCATGCATGTACTGTACACAAATGAACAAAGTGGAGAACAATAAAGGGAGTGGGGGGCGCGTGAGAGCAAAAAGACTGGAGGGCACCTTTTCTGTTTTGCAGCCCACAGGGCTTGCCGCTGACCCTGTTGTCGTGGCAACGCCTGAAGCGGTTGGATGGGCTGTGGGGGTGGAGAATGGGGGAAGGCTTTGGGAGTGGAGGGGGCAATCCCACCAAAAATGCAGAGTTGTGAGAAGCTGTCCTGGGATCAGTTACTCTTCCCACTTTTGCCCTACCTTTTTTTTTTTTTTTTTTTGGAGAGCGATGCAGACCAGGATTACGGCATTAAGGCCATGCAACGCTCCTGTCTCCCACTAAGGGGTGGGGGCTGGCTGTGGATTTGCACGCATGTACGTGTCCAGTATCACTGCTCTGTGGACTCTGATAATCCTTTTGTGCCCTTCATCCTGACTTCGACTGATACGGTGTGCCTGGTTCACACGGGTATAATAGTTTTCAAGTCACATGAGTACTGAAATGATGGCGGGACGCTTTGACCTCAGAATGAATGCAAAAGTCAGATTTTGTCTTTGGGGCATTGTTAGGATGTGTTTTTAAGGGTGCGACCTGGTACCTGAGCCTTTTTGACTGAAAAACATGCCCTATGATTTTGGAGACAAGCAGAAGGCAATCAAATGAAAAAGAAAAACAAACAATCCACTCTGATGTTTTTAAACCATTGGATGGCAAACAAGTCGGCTGTGTTCCCTTCCACAACAGCGCAAACGCCCTTTTCTATCTGCGCCCATCCACCAGGATGCCAAAGAAAGAAAACTCAACCCATGCGCACAGCTACACTGCGCTCTGCGCTAGACTTGTGCTGGGCAGAAAAATAGCGTGATTGGTTGTTTGTCTAAACGTGCCCTGCAATTGGCTGGCGACCATTTCAAAAGTCAGCTGCGGTAGACTGAAGTTCATCAGCTGGCCCTGATGAGCAAAGACATTATCGAAAATGAGGCCAAAAATAGTGCCACGTCTCATTAATAAGAAATTATTCTCATAAATTGAAGACCTCATTTCTCGTAAACTTTATGATTTGATGCAGCGAACACAGTTTGGTCCAGTTCCAGACAAAGGTGCAAATATGGCAAGCTGTTATAAGATTGGCCTTACAGAGATGCCTCACAGTTGATTCACTCAATAAAACATGCAGTCTGAAAAACAAAACATTCCTGATGGATGATGAGCTTGGCCCGAGGAAACAAAAGAGCAGAAGGGACACAATGTGGCACATAACCAGGTAAAATGACAGCAGTCGAGCTAGAAAGAGCAAAATCATGAGTCTAATAATAACTGTGACCTTCTACTATACTCGTGTTAACACACACACACACACACACACACACACACACACACACACACACACACACACACACACACACACACACACGGCCAGGCAATAATGTCTCGGGGCAGGTCAGCATAATGTCTCAGGGCAGCTTAGCAGGTAGATGCTAATATGTACTTCACATTTCTAAACAAATCCACACAACCTGCAGCATTGTTTTTGAGCTGTCAGTCAGTTTTAATGTGTGCAAACAGACCTCCGGGACTGACTGACAGCTGGTGCAAAAGATGTGACATACTGTACAGTGACACTCCCACTGAGGCAGTTGCCGACACAGCCTCGTTCTGTACTGCAT